TTTTTTTTTTTGAGACAGAGGCTCACTAGGTAGCCCAGGCTGGCTTTGAATTTATGGCAATCCTCCTGCCTCAGCCTCCTGAGTGCTGGGATTAGAGGCGTGTGTCACCATGCCCAGCTAATCCTAATCACTTTCTAAAGTCCACATCTCTGAACATCATAGATACATTACACTTCCACCTTCACAGTGGGATTAAACTCCAACATATTCAAGCCTTTGGGAACGCCAGTCTGATATCTAAACCCAGACAGGTTCACCTGTCCCTAGTCCTAGCCCAAACTTTCTCTTGGAGAAACCAGCCAGTCTGTCTGCACAGTCATGAGGGGGGCACTGCCCTCATTTGCTCCTACCAGTTCTAACCCCAGAGAAGACTCGGAAACACAACCATGCATGGGCACCTACTATGAGTAGGAGCTTTCTGCAGTCAGCCTCAGGTGGCACAAACAAGACCCATGCCCTCCTCCCTGATACCCCACTCAGCCTCCCAAACCCACAGCTTCCTGCCCCCCTGAGTAGGGCTGTGTCACTCAGTGGGCAAGGACCAGGGTTCCACACTACTCACTAAGAAGCTGGGCAGAGGCAGTAGCCAGAGCTTGGAAGAGGGGATCTCAGAGGATGCAAATAAAAATCATCCACTCCCATAATCCTTAGCAGCATTCATTTCTAGGCATGTGAAGAGAAGATGAAATGGAGGATGTAGCATTATCTCCCCAACACTCTTCTTCTTGCCCTCCTGGAGAATTCATTTATGGAATCAGATCCTCCCATCATGATATATCACTTTGTCTTGGATTAAATACAAGCTCTTTAAATAAACAGATCTTATGAAGCAGAGTATTTTTTTATTGCAGCAAAGTAGGGATTTCTCCATCGTATGTCATCCTTTTAACATTCAATAATTTAATGTTTCCTATTCATTTAACAGAGGTACATTGTATAAAAAGAAAAATAAACCTTTAATGATCTGTAGTATTACAACAGATAGAAACCTGTAATTATAGATCTGCATCTATGTACATATATATACTTTCTGTGTGTATGATATGTATATATGTTTTATTTTAATATAGGACTGTCTTAGTTACTTTCTCAGCTGTGACACACAATACTCAGCACTCGCAAGTTAAAGGAGAAAGGTTCATCTTAGGTCACAGTTTTGGTCCCCAATCTGGCTCCAAGGCAGGGTGGCATGGCAGAAGGGTCTGGCAGAGGAGGTTTACTCAGGGCACCGCAGTCAGAAAGCAGACAGAGGTCAAGGGAGGAAGGAGGGAGATACTCTCCCAGGCCACACCCACAGTGACCCACCTCCTCCCACCAGGTTTTACCTCCCAACATCACTTTCAGCTATAACTCACCAGCGGAGTAAGCCATTGATAAGTGTCACATCCCAATCATCCAATCAGCTCTCAAAAGCCCCACCTATGAGTGCATGAGGCTTTGGGGAGGACATCCAGATATAAACCATAACAGAGACCATATTATAGGACAATGTAGTCTAATAGAAATTTCTGCAGTGATGGAAATATTATATCCTACTGTCCAATATGGTAGCCATTAGCCACAATGTCTACTTAGCACTTTAAACATAGCTAATGTATCTGAGGAACTGAATTTCTATTCTATTTTAATTTGTTTAAGTGTATTTAAATAACTATATGTAGTGAATGGCTACCGTATTACACAGGGTAGATACAGAAGGAATCATGCAAACAATTCATAACACTAATTATCAATTCAATAAATGACTCTCAAACATTGGTACTAATTTCCATGATAATATAGTTTAGAAAGTATAATGTAAAGATAGACCCTAATTACAGTAGAAACAAAAATATATTATTAGGATAAAACTGTAAAGACTACACATTACTCAAACATAAAAACCTAAACTATCTCTCTCATATTTTTGTTTGTTTCCTTGTTTTTAATGTTGATTAGGGACAAGCGGCCTAAGCTTTAAAGTGAGATAACCAGAAAAAGAGGACAAAATAAAGCAAAAGCAGTCATAATTAAGACAGTAACAGCAATAACTTAGGTGGGGCTTGAGGCCAGATCTCCTCAAATGGGATAGTCAGGGAGATATCTCTGGAGAGGTGAGATTTTCAATCAGCAGGTAAAGTATGAAAATGAATAAATCATGTAAATATAGCAGAAAATGCACACACACCCCCAGCCAGTACACTTCAGTTTGTTAGCTGCCCAGGTAAAAGTTCCTCTTCCAGTTCCAGTTGCTTCTGTCCCTTAGAAACATCTGGTCACTGTGATGCATACTGTAAGAACCAATCAAAGACAGCCAAGTACTCTACCTCTGTACCGCCTGCCCTCTTGCAACCCCATAAAAACCTCTTTCCCTGGGCTTACAAGGCCTGACATTTTTGTAAGGGCTGGTTCCTTGTCAGTGCCCGTTGATATAAATAAATCTGCCCCAAATCCTGGGTGTCGTCTCGTTGTTTCTGCTTGCACTGCATAAAGATATTGGGAAGTGTTCAACAGACCAGGGTTCACCAACTATTGGTTGACATTTTAAGCCAGTTAATTCTTTGCTGCAGGGATTGTCCAGTGCGCTGCAGGATGGTTAGCAACATCCAGGGACTCTACCCACTAGATGTCAGTAGCACCCTCAGCCTACTCCAGTTAGGACAACCAAAAATGTCTGTGGATGTGGCCAAATAAGGAAAGAGGAGAGGGGAAAGGAAGAGAGGAGAACTAGGACAAACTTAGAAGAGAACTTGCACAAACCACGAGTATGTGCAAGAGCCCTGAGGTGGGAAAGGGGTTAAAATAACAGAGAATCAAAAGAAAGACCATCAAATCACTGAGTCATTGAAGGGTTTCAAGAGGCAAACATCCAATGTGTTTGTTTAGTGTTGGGCTGCAAGGGGTGCAGGTGGGAGCAGGGATCATTTCAGGGTTCACAGAACAGTATAGAAGACCCAGCCCCCCATCAGCAGATGAACTTCTCCACGACTCAGTGTCCTCATTTGTAAAATGGGGATTGTGATAGGGCACCCACCCTGAGGGTGGTTATAAACATATATAACAGGATCTAGTGTTTGTAAGGCACTTAAAGCCGTGCCTGGCACATAACAGGTGCACTGGAATCCATCTGCTCTTATGAGAGCCTAAGTCCTGATGAGAGATGCTTGGGTGACAGCAGAGACCCTTCCTGTGGAGGGCCACAGCTGCAGGGCCTGTGGAGCAGAAAGGTCTACTGAGTGTGCAAAAGCTGCAGAGAAGAGGGCAAAAAGGAGAGCTCAGCAAGAGGTGGGAAGCAGAGAAATAGCCGATGAGGTAGGTGAGCAGGTGACAACAGGAATGAAGCATTCAGCACAATGGCTACTTTTTGGTTCAAGTACTATATGCACAAGGTCCCACTTATTTCAGGGAAAAGAACAGAGGTCCACTTAGGCCATATTAGATTTGAGATAGCCACAGCTTAGCCTCACGTAGTAAGTAGTAACCGACTGGCAGGTCAAAGCACAGGGAAGAGCTTGGGACTGAAGATATAAACCTGACCATCTTGTGCAAAGTAGATAGCAAATAGTTTAATTTGAATTAAGCACCTAATAATAATGATTAAAAGTATTCAAATTCTAAATAACTGGTCCTGAAGGTAGAGCAAAGTTATGTAAAATGTCATTTGTGCGAGTCATTTATTGAAGCATGGTTTGTAATAGTATAGTTTGTAAATCATCTAAATAGCCACTGATTGCAGTCTGGTTAAATATATAATACTGCCATAAGATAGAATATCATACCGTTGATAAAAGAAAAAGCAACTTAACATGACCTGATATAGTATGGCCCACAAGACATTATTCAATGAAAAAAAGCAAGGTACATAACAAACTGTGTAACAGAGAATATCTCTGGAAGGGTGCACAACTGCTAACCATAGCAGTGGCTAGGCGACAGGAGCTGAAATTCTTACTATTCACTCTATGCTGCTTCACACCGTTGTATTTGGGGCTGTAGGAACACATTACAATTTTTTAAAGCCTACTCAGCGCTCTGTATCCATAGGTCTTGTGTCTTTGAATTCAACTATTTTGAGAATGAAACTATTTGGGAAAAAATTGTATCTATACTGAACATGCACAGATTTTTTTCTTGTCATTATTGTATAAATAATACAACCTAACAACTATGTACATAGCATTTATATTACATTAACTGTTATAAGTGATATAGAAATGATTTAAAGTTTATAGGAGGATATATATAGGTTACATGTAAATACTGCACAATTTTATATAAAAGACTGCAGCATCCACAGATTTTTATATTTACAGAGCATCCTGGAAACAAGCTCCTATAGATACTGAGAGACAAGTGCATATAATTTTTTTAGACAAAGTCTCACTATATTGTCCAAGCTAGTCTCAAACTCACGAAATCAAGAAATCCTCCTGCATCAGCCTCTTGAGTAGATGGGACTACCAGTGCCTACTACTATGCCCAGCTGCAATTAAAAAATAAAAAACCAAATATGTTTAGAAGAAAGTCACTCTGGTAACATGCAAAGGAAGAGACGAGAGACAGGATACCAGCTAGAAAACAACTGCAATGGTCTAAGCAAGAAAGATGAGGGTTAGAGCCAGAGATATGTCAGGGAGGATAGAGAGACTCCAAAGAGCATTTTGCCACTAGAATCCAATTTTGGATCTATGCATGAAGAAGAAAAGATGGCTCCCAGGATTTGGGCTGAGAAGGACGCCTGCTCAGGTCTGTCCCTTTCTCCTCCAATATCTCCTGGGAAGCTCAAAGGACAGCGATGTGCCTGGATGAGCTAAGGAGAGGGGTGTCCAGGGCTCAGCGTGTGCCTGGGTGAGAAGAGAGCACCAAGCACCAATTACCCCTGCCCCACGTACATACACAGACACGCGTGCACACACACGTGCACATACTCACCGTCATGTGAGCTCTTGGGTTGCTCCCCACGCTCTTGACCAGAGAAACTGAAACTCCAACGCCGTCCCACACAGTGCACTTTGGAAAAAAGAGCATTGATTAACGTTATTATTTCCTGCCAGGAAGCAGCAGAAACGCCTCTAACTTAAAATACTTCTCATTTTCCTCCTCTTCCTCTTCTGGTCTGAGATCTTCCCCTTACCTTGGCACGGCAGGCCCGCGTAGCTGCAGGACGTTGTGCCACGTGCTGCAACACTGTTGGCTGAAACCAGCTGGCAAGGGGCACTGGGGGCCAGCAGCCTCTTTCCAGGGAGGAATCGAGGGCATCATAGCAGCGTTTTTACAGACCAGTGTTGCTGAAGATGGGAGCAGTGCTGCTGACTAAGGAAGTTTGTGGTGGAGGTGGCCTCAGACAGCTGCAGGATCTCTGCCTGTATTTTTTCCCCTAAAGATGGGAAAGTAGCTCTGCTCACATCCTACAAGAATGAATATTGTTCACTTCTAAGCATAGCTGTTGCTGACCGAAAAAAAAAAAAAAAAAACCCTACTAATTCACTTTCCCCTTACTGGAGAGAGTGAATCAGGACTTGGGCAGCCACCCTCACCACTCCCAGAGCCCTTTCTGCCCCCTCCCTTGGTGCAGGCTGCAAACAGCTGAGCTCAGCCAGACCAAAGCCCTGAGGTTGAGGCTGGCGGTCCAAGAGCTCCACAGCCCGTGTGTTCTAGGATCTCTGCCAGGACCTGCTGCCTAGCAGACAAGCCCAAGGAAGATCTTACCAGGAGGCAGGTTCTGTCCTCCTGCAAAGAATAGAGCCAACTTTCAGCACCTATGCTGTGGTAGCCAGCAGCCTACTTTCTCCCCTGGGAAAAGGAGGGGGCCCATGGGCCTCTGACCCTGTGGTCAAGGTTCCTCCTTGCTTTTACATCCTCAGATTTGTCTGCCCACTCACTCCTCAACCTGTGAATCAGGTCTCTTGCTTTCTGTGCTCTGACTTTGACATGCGGACAGGCTGCCCCTCCTTTCCAGGGTTCACCAGTTCCTAGAGATGGAAGAAATGTTCCCCGTCCCAGCCATCTCCTGTGCTGTTATTCTCACACTCTGGACCACCGTCACCACCCCTAGTCATCCAGGGCCAGCTACTGGACAACTAGGGACAGCCCCGAACTTAACGCCAGCTGAAGTAATTCAAACTTTCTCACCCTGCCTCACTCACTCCCTCCTAGGGGACCCATATAAAGACTCTTGTCCACAAGTGCCCCCTCCTCCTGCTTCCCCTGACAGACCCGGTGCTTTGTGGGTGGCATGCCACCTCCTGCTCAGATCTGAGTCTAACAAACCGTCTTTCAGTGGCAGCCATCTCTGATCTGTTGGCCTTGCCAGCCCCAAGTAACAGTTTATAACAAGAGGAACAACTTATTATTTATTTTAATATTACTATCAGTAGTGCATAATAAATTATAATAAAATTTTATAATACAATTTTGAAACAACAACCTCAGGCTCCCACCCACTCCTAAAATGGTCTTCACCTAGCTGCCAAAATTGAATGGATGTGTTTGCCGCTTACACGCGGCATGGACCACTTCTCCTCAGGACGGTGCCCATCGCTGGGGCTTTGCTCTCCTGGCTCTATCAGTAGCAGTGCCCTTCGGGGTCCCGGCCAAAGAGCGCCCAGGGTGCTCTCCCCAGCTATTTGCCTCCATCCGCTTCACGCTGTCCCTGAGCTCCAACCTCCACATGGGTGCTGCGCATGCTCCTTAAGCTCAGCGCAGCCAACACTGAATCATCTTCCACTGCCCCAAAGCTGCCTCTGCTCTTATCGCTCCTCAGAGCAGCCTCTCCGAGAAGCGGGGAGCCCTGACCGGCTCCTGCAAGAGTGCCTAGGGGTGTTCCTCCGCCCTATCCTCCCCACGTCCACGGCTGCCCGTGTGAGCCCCTCGCCCCTCAGCAGGACTTCCTCGCTGTGCTCTGATGGTGGCTTCCTGGGCACCCTTCCAGCCCCACCCCGGCCCCAGTTCCCAATAATCCACCCAAAATACTTCTTCACATTTCCCCCCAGGACCAGGGATACAGCTCAGTGACTCAAGCGCCTGCCTAGCAAGGTCCTGAGTTCAACTCCCAGTACAAAAAAAAAAAAAACACACATTTCCCCCCTGCTGTAGGGCTCCCCAAGGATCCCCACTGCTCACTGGAAAATCTACATTTAGCCTGATAAATGCAGGTTTTTAAAATAACTTTATTGGTATACTTTTGACATGCACAATGATCACATTCATTGCAGGGAATTTGTGCCCGTGCTTAATATATCTTGATTCTTCTTCTTTTCCCATTCCCCTCCCCTCCCTCAACACTTCTCCCCCTGCTTATTTACAAAAGCTTTGTTTCCATTTCTTGTGTCTCTCTTTTTTCTCCTTTTCCCTTCCTCCCCTTCTCTCTCCCCCTCCCTTGCTCCCTTTCCCGTTTTACCATGTTCGTCCTACTTCCCAATGTCTAGCACCCATTTTGGTCCTTATTTGTGCTTTCAGCTTCTCACACAAGAAAACAATGCATTGCTTGAGCATGTGTGTCCTATTTGTTTCACTTAAAAGTAATGTCTCAAGGTGCATTCATTTACCTAAAAATGTCTCAAATGTATCCTTCTTTATGGCTGAGTAGTATTCCATTATATATAAAAATTACATTTTCTTTATTCATTCATCCAATGGTGGGCATCTGGGCTGTTTAAGGTGCCATCCCAGGCTTCCTCATATGGCATCAGAGTTCCAAGGAGCAAGTCCTGGTGGACAGCACCTCTGATGTCTGCTCGCACCATTTTAGCTCAAGTCTCGTAGGTCAGATGCATTCTATAGCCAAGTTCTCAGTCAGTGGAGGAGGCACAACCTCTCAGGGGCCATTGGTGTAGTGACCTCCCCACCCTCTCCTAAAGAGGCACCGCCTCCCCATATGCCACAGCAGAACACCAGAGCGTGACTTCAATCACGACATCAGCTTCAAGCCCCTGAGCTCATACTGCACAGCCGGCCTGGCTGTGGCTGGGTTTCCTTGCTGCACTCCTGGGATGTGGCTCCTCCTGACTCAGAGTCCCGCAGGCCTGGTGCACAATGGTGAACCAGAGATGGAATAAACTCAACAGAAGCTCCGGGTTGAGAGGGGAGAAACTCCAGATACAGCGCCATCACTGGCCAAAGTGATTCTGAATGGCAGCCACACACATGTGATCAAGGCTCCTCCCCTCAGGCAGGGCATTACTTGGAAAGGGCCCGGTCCTGCCTTGCTCCTCATTGTCCCCGCTGGGCTTAGTCCTGCTCTCGGGGCAGCCCTTTTTACCCATGCACATGTGGACAGCCTCCTGCTCATAGAAAGCTGGGGGCCCCCAGGCTCCTTTTCATTTTGAACTGTTTCAACCTCTTTTAATCTAATCATTTTGCCAAATGATTAGCCTTCAAAAGTTTATGGGCTCTCTGTGAATGTTGTGGGAGTCCATTCTGTGTACCAGACACATGATTAATTTCAAGAAGATGCTACTTCAGCAATAGCACGATCTTAACATTCCCACAAATCCTTTTGTTTAGCTAAGATCTACTAGAAACTGGTTGTATCTTCTGGGAATCTTAACAAGTGTTCTGTAGCCATACCCTTGACTTCATCTTTTTCTTGAAGTCAATTCTTTTCTCTTTTTTTTTTTCTTTTTTGGTACCAGGAATCAAACTCAGGACCTTGCACTTGCCAGGCAGGCACTGTGCCACTGAGCTATATCCCCAACCTGGCCAGTTCTTATTTTGAGAATCTGTTGCCTGCTGGAAAGAATGGAAATGAGGACTAGTTTTCTTTTCCAATAAATTACACGGGTCTCATTGAGGTCATCTCTCTCTTACAATACTCAGTCACACAGTCCGGATGTTTATTCAGTAGCACCTCAACAACACTTTGAGCATTCCATCTCTAGATCTCCTTAGCCAAGTCTACAAACTCATTAGGCGCTATCTCACTCCGTCTTATATTACTGTCTTAGTTACTTTTCTCGTTGCTGAGACAAAATACCCGACACCTACAAGTTAAAGGAAGAAAGGTTTATTTCAGCTCATCGTGTGTAGAGGTTTCAGATCATAGTTGGCTGGCTCCAAGGCAGAGTAGCTCAGCACAGGGGCATCACAAAGGAGAAACAGCCCATGGCAGGGCAGGCAGGAGGCAGTAAAGCAGCAGAAAGCCTGCCTTCCCTCTCTCCTTTTACATTCTGTCCAGGTTATAAGCCTATTGATTGGTGCCAGCCACACCTAGACGTTTCCATTTTTCACACCCAGAACTATGCTAATTCCAAACACTGGGCCAATTTAGAACCACATACCCTTAATCCCAGTATCACATGTCCTACATCCAGCCAGCTCCCAAAAGCCCCACCTATGAGTGCAAGAGGTTTTGGGGGGATATCTAAGTACAAGCCATAATAGTTACTACAACAGAGAACCTGAGGTTGGGTGACTCATAACAAAACAGTTTTTTAGCCTGGCATACTTGGGAGGCTGAGGAAGGAGGATCATGAATTCAAGGTCGGCCTGGGCCACATAGCAAGACTGTCAAAAATGAAAAAGAAAAGGAAAGAAGAGAGAGAAAGAAGAAAAGGAGAGAACAGAGAACAGAGGAAAGGAGAGAGAGGAGAAGAGAAGAGAACAGAGGAGAGGAGACAGAGAGGAAAGGAGAGGAGAAGAGAAGAGAGGAGAGGAACAAAAAAGAGAAGCTTTCTTAGCTCACAGTGTTAGAAGCTGAAAGTCCAAGTTTGGGGCTGCATCTGGTCAGCATCTGGCAAGGGCTTTCTGGCTACCTCATAATGTGGCAGATGGCATCACATAGCAGCGGCCGCACATGAAAGAGATCTCCTGGTAAGAGAGGAAGCAAGTGACAGTGAGCTGTAGGCCAGTCCCAGAAACCTGACCTGCTCCCGGACTCAGCATTAATCCATTCATGAGGGTGGAGCCCCATGATCTAATTACCTTCCACTGGCCCCACCTCTTAAAGTCCCACCACTTTCAATACCATTACCCTGGGAACCAAGCTTCCAGCACACGGGTGAATTCAGGGCAGGGGCGGGACTTACTGAAACTCTAGTAGCACATTTTCTATCATCTAAGTACCACAGCAGTGCTTTTGCCACCTGCTTCACCATGACCTAACCTAACACAAGTCAACCTTGTTCCAGCCACCACTCTCCTTCATTGAAACAGCTTGGAGACATTCATGGTGGCCACAGGGTGGTCAGACCTTTTCCATGCTGGCCCCAAGAGAAAGTGTTCCAGAGAACAAGACAGAGCTTATATGGCTTTCTGAGACCTGCAGGCAGACTCTTAATGTCACCTGTGCTTACTGTATTAGTTGAAGCAGACACAAACCCACGGAGATTCAAAAAGAGGAGATAGACTTCACCAGGTTTTAGAACCAATACAGGTTTGGGGCTGGGGATTTAGCTCAGCGGCAAAAGCGCCTGCCTGGCAAGCGCAAGGTCGTGAGTTTGGTTCCCGGTACCAGAGAAAAACCAAAAAAAACAAAAAACAAAAATAGAACCAATACAGGTTTATCTGGGGTGTCTGGTTTGTGTTTTTCATGGCACTGAGGGTCACACATGCTTTTGTTGTCACATGGCAGGTCAGCTGGGAGCCGGTTGCTTCCAAACAGTGACTGATATTACCTCAGTCCACTTGGCTAGCTCAGGCTTCCTCTTACAGTACTTGCCTTCCAGGAAGGTGAACCTCAGTGGAGACCACATTTGCTGACAGCCTATTGGCCAAAACAAAGCACATGGCCAAGCCCAGAATCAGCGTGGAAAGGGATCACACACAGTACACAGGTACCAGGAGGCAAGATTCGCTGGGGGCCACAAATGTGATATCTGCCATACATCACGCTCATCTCCTTCAAGAAGGCCCCCCTCCCAATTTGGACCCTCCTGTGCACCTCTGTGGACGCTCACAGCACCCTGTACACATCTCTACCTGCACTTACCCTACTGCTCTCTAGTTATCTATCTATTCCCCCCACAACACACCTTGAGGGTGAGACTGTGCCCTGTCGATCTGTGTGTTCCCAGCTTAGGACCAGTGAAATCAGTTTAGCCCAGGTCTGAGGACCCATGCTAGGAGCACTGAAAGGCAGGGGGCATGGAGTCAGGAGATAAGATCCACAGGCTGAGCTGAGCAAAGTGTCCGTCTGACCTTGGACAAATCCTCTCCCTTTAGGGGCTTCAGGTCCCCAGGATAAAATGATGGGGAGGCTCTGAGATTTTGCAGGGACATTGTGTGGAACCAGTGACCATGGAGAGTGAACGGCTGGTAGTCCCTTGGTCAGCATAAGGAAATGAATATTTTTAGAGGAATTTCTACTCTCATCTGTCTCTACCAGGGGCAGCAGGAGAACAGAAACCTAAGGGACTGACAGGGCAGCCACAGTCTGGCAGGACACCCTGCCCTGACTGGACTCCTTCCTGCTTTCAGCACTCCAACCCTGTCCATTAATGACTGAGAATTTTAAGATCCCCTCACTTTTGCCACCCTAAGGCCCTACCCAAACCCTAGATTTTCATTCTTGAGCCTTCAATTCCATCCACCTGGGGACCTCGTTCTAACAGACACACAACTGCACACACCTGGCAGGAAATGCTCCCCTGCCCTTCCTAACAACAAAGTGCCTGGGGACCCTGAAAGTAGGCCAGGTCCTCCTAATCTTATCAAAGTAGCACAGCTAGGCCTTCCGCCCAGCAACACTCAGAGACAGGCCACAGAGCACCCAGCACCTCAGCCAGCCACAGCCCTGACATCGTCTGCAGTTAAGGGACTTTTGGGTATGTTTTCCCCCCAAAAAAGAACCATCTCCATCCCCTAGCTCTGTGTGTATGTGTGGTGTGTGTGTGTGTGTGTGTGTGGGCGTGTGTGTGTGTGTGTAAGAGGAAGAAAAGCTAAACCAATTATATTCTGAAAAGAAAGATCGCCAGCCTAGGGATCAGAAAGCTGTTAAACAGGAGCAAACACAGGGCTGTGGAGAGACAGAGGAAGGCAGCATGTCTAGAGTACAGCAGGGAGATGAATGGGAAAGATGGGATGGTAGAGGTCAGTGGCCAGGAGCCAAGCCATCCAGGGCCTTAACATTATCCGATGACCAATGAAAAGCAATCCGTGAGGATGGACAGTCTTATTACACCAGGGTTCCCTAGCCCACAGGTCCTGGGAAGCTTGCAAATAGTGCAGACTCAGTACAAGAGTAAGGAGGTCCTAGACGGGCTGGAGCAGCTGCATTTTTCCTAAACATGTCCTAGGAGCTTCCGTGGCTTACCAGAGTGAATCACCCTTGGGACTGGACCATCCACAGGGCTTAGTCTAGTTAGAGCATGCCATCACTCCATGCTGGGAGACCACATAGCCCCCTGGGACACTGAGAGAAGTGAAACTCCCACTTGAAGCCTGGGAGTAGCTTCCAACAGTGCCTTTACAGGACTGGAAACTGCAGCAGAGGTGCCAGGGCTGACTTCTACGAAGAAATAGGAAACAGAGAAGAGGCAGGAGAAGGCTGGGCGGCAGGGCCAGCCCACAGGATGTTGTGATCAGGATTCACAAAGAAGCCTGGGGGCTCAAATCAATCAAATAAACCTTAGTTTTTTTAAAAAAAAATCTCTGTACCTCTGGGTTGGAGGAACAATTCATCAGCACTGGCTGTTAAAAAAGAGACTCTTTCTGGTGACGTCAAATTGATGGGGTAGAAGGGGTTCCTCCAGGATCAGAACCTGGATCTCAGCCTATCCCCTTCCAGCCTTAGTCACCCTCACCCCTTTCTGGAAGTTCCCCTTCCCTCTCCCTCCAGCTACAGGCATTACAGCAGAGGAGCTCAGCACTGAGAGCTTGGGCTCCAAGGCCACCACCTAGCAGCCCTCCCACTTACCAGCCAGGGAGCCAGATGGAGGTGGGATGGGTTGAAGAGGTAGTGTGACCATGTCTGTTGTGAGCACCGTGCTTGGTGGAAGGCAACATTCCTTCTGTCTTCTGAAGACCAAGCAGACAATTCAGAAAGTGAGAACCTGGCATCAGCCCAGACCCCAGAGGAGACCAGGAGTAGCCACAGCCAAAAGCACCTGCAGGTTCCCCTGAAGGGCAAGGTGCTCTGGAGCATAGGAAGGGATGCGGCAGGGCTGGGGACCAGGGGAGGACCGGGTGGGAGCATTGCCTGCCCTGCTACCAAAGGGCTGCTCCCATGGAATGCCGTGGAATGCATCCTACCGGCCTCCTTGGAGAAAGGCCCGGGATATTCCAACCCCAAAACATCTCACTGGAGGCTCGGGAGGAGATAACTCGGAAGTGTGGCAAATCCGGCTTCTGCACTCTTTATGCGCCGGTTTTCCCAGAGATTTCTGAAGACTGGATAAGAGGAAAGGGTTACACCCTTAAAAGGAGAGCACTCGCTGCAGGAGGAGGAGGCTAATATTCTTTGGGCTGCTCCACTCTGATCCCGGGTTCCCAAATCCTCCCGCCCCTGGCCGAGGCAGCCAGCCACAGAGCTAGGGTCCCCCTTCCGCAAGAGTGGGCCCCCTTCCCACACCCAGACATCACTGCCACCTCCTCCCACCCCGCCCCTCGCCACCCCCATCCTCTCCCCTTAGCCTCTGATTGGCTGAGCCCCGGGCCCTCCCCACGCTCCTCTCCCCCACCCCTGGTGAAAACTGCGGGCTTGGTGCAGGGTGCAGCAACTGGAGGCGGCAGCATCGCGTCCCGAGGAGGGTGCAGCGGCAGAGGACAGGGTCCAGGTGAGAGCTGGAGCCAGGCGGGGACAGGGACGCAGGCGGCCGCGGGAAGGAGCCGCGCAGATCTGGGAGAGGGACCTGCACGCCAGCCCGGGATGGGAGGGGATGGGAGCGCGATGCTCTTCGGGGCAGCGGCCGCGCCATACCTCGCCTCTGAGGGAAGCCTCCCGCAGGCTTTCGCCCACTGGCGGGCGGTTGTCCGCGGCTGCAGCGCCGCGGGAGAACCTGGGGAAGGACCCCAAGTGCGACCTTTGGCGCTGCTCTCCACCCAGAGGACCCCATACCCAGCTCTCAAGGGTGGGGAGGCGAGGGAATAGGCGAGAGGGTGGAGGGTGGACAGCCAGAGGGGATCTCAGCTCGGTGACCTCGCGGCGGGCTGGGTGCGGGGCGCCAAGGTAGAGAAACCGCAGTGCCGCGGGCGGGGACTGGGTGGAAGGCGGGCAGATGGGGGAGGGGAGAGCTGGGAAAGAAGAGAGGGGGAAGGGGGCCCTCAATTGGGAAAGAGGATCGGAATAGGGAAATAACAAGGGTGGGGCTAGCCGAGTAGCGGGGCTAACGAGGGAGCCCGCGCTGAGCAGCTCAGGGTCTGGACTGCGGAGGACACCTAGCAAAGGAAACAGCCCCTCCCTAACTCTCTACCCGTTCTTTGGCTCCACATCTCTCTCCAGCCCCGGCCCCATTTCTTTTCTTTCTTGTTCTGCCCACTGCTCCCCCGCCTCCTAAATCCCAGGCCTCACTTCTCCTCCATCACCTAATGTCCTCCACTCAAAGCCAGATGCCAGCTCCTTTCCTCCGCTGCAGAGCCTCGGGGTCTGGCTCAGGGCGGCAGCTCCACCCCGGACCGAGTAGGCATTCCCTCTAGCCTCACGGCGTCAGATCCTAGCCTCACCTTCCTCAGGGCAGAACGTCAGCGATCCTGGACGCTGGAGTGGCGCGCCCTCTGCACCCGGGCGCTCGCAGCTCAGGCCGGACCCGAGCTCCTCGTGCGACTCCTCCAAGGCGAGCTCTGCTGCGGAGGCTGTCTACTCCGTGTCGCCAAAATGCTGGTCCATTTAAGGATGTTTAAGTAGGAAAAGGACTAGGTGGGGAGTATAGGCAGAGTGGCCATATAAGCCAGACTGGAAAACCACTGCTCCAGGAATCTTGGAGAGGCATCTTTGCTCTTTGCAGTCAGAGGATACCCTGGCAAACATCTGGGAACGCCTTAACCGAGTGCCCAGTACAGGCCTGTCTGGAGGGCCTTAGCCAAACACACACCTGACATGATCCTAAGCTGTTAACACTTCAGGGCCATGTACTATGGAGCAGTCTAGGGCCAGATGTTTATCATTTTCTTAATCCCTACCACAACCCCTTGGGTATCTAAGGTTGAGAGAGCCTTCTTCGTCCCTTCAGTAAATATATTTTGAACATCTACCACATGCCAGGAACTGTTCTAGGCATTGGAAATTTACTTCTGGACAAGACAGAGAAAATCCCTAAATGGAGAATTTTCGTTTAATGAGTATAGAGTTCAGTCGTTCAGAAAGAGTGCTAGAGAGCGGATGTGCAGCAGTGTGAATGTACTAAGCAATACCCAACTGTATTCTTGAAATGTGGCCCAGGTAGTAAATGCTATCTGTATTTTACGAAAGTAAACTTTCAAAAGTAAGTAAATAGGAAGCCCCTGCCCAAGGAAAAAGAGTGGTGAAGATGATAAATCCCTTGAAGTCACGCAGCTGGGAAGTGCACCGTGAGCATGCACCAACACCCCACCATTCCAGGTGTATTCTCCCTCCCTTGCTTTCCTAAGGAGGAAAGAACCAGAGGAAGTGTCACCTCCAAAGAGAAATGAAGAAGAGAGGGGTGGAGAGAGTGGCTTAGATGTCCACTGTGTTCCCCAAGAGTCCCATTATCGGCATTAAGTGTGGGCACACAGGTCCCATCTCTTGGCTAATCCCCCTCTATTCCCACCCCAGATCCAGGACAGACCTTTTGGCACCATGAACCCAGCCATCGGCATCGCCCTCCTGCTGGCAGGTACTCAGCAAGGGGCAGGCTGACATTCCAGGGACCCTGGCTTGCCTTTCTTCACCGAAGTTTGCTTCTTCCTCAGAGCCTCAGAAAGTGCAGTTGGCTAGGGGAGAGAGGGCTTTTTTGCCTCCCAAAGACAGCTAGCTACTCACCCAGCTGACCTTTAGAAATAATTCACTGAGCCCTGTCCCATGCTAGTGAATGGGAATCTCCAAATGGGAACTCAGGACTCCCCAAGATTACTTGTCCTTGCGACTCACTAATGGGACCCAGGGTCAAGGAGACTAGGGAGAGAGGTCAGGGTGTTGGGGTGGGGGTGGGAGTTCTGCTTCCAGGATCCCTGGAGTAGAAAGAGGCACTCAAAGAGCAGCCCCCTGTGCCCTCCCTGGTCATGTCTACTGTCCGGGGATGATGTGGGTGGGCCGCCCCTCATCACCAGCTCTCCACTAACTGGAATGGGCACTGCTGGTGCCAGTCTTGCAGGTGTCCCGAGGGCAGAAAGTGACTAGCCTAACAGCCTGCCTGGTGAACCAGAACCTTCGTCTGGACTGCCGCCATGAGAATACCACCACTCTGCCTGTCCAGTACGAGTTCAGCCTGACCCGTGAGAAAAAGAAGCATGTGCTCTTTGGCACTATGGGGGTGCCTGAGCACGCATACCGCTCCCGGACCAACCTGACCAGCAATTACAACATCAAGGTTCTCTACTTAGCCAACTTCACCTACAAGGACGAGGGGACCTACACGTGCGAACTCCGCATCTCTGGCCAGCCATCCGCCCCCAACTATAGGAATGTCTCTGTGATCAGAGGTGAGGCAAATCCCCAACAAGGCCAAATGGACTGGGAGAGCCAGGCTGGGGACCACCCAGCTAGCTAGGACAGCAGACAGTTGCCGTGGCCAGACCAGAGGGGAGATGGGCCCCATGACTCCCTCATTCTCCCCGCAACTGCTGCCTGGTCCCCTGGGGAACCACTGCTTCTGATGTGAAGGGGAAAGAGCAGAGGGCTAGTTAGAGAGGCACAGCAGTGTGGTATCTGCTTCCACCATGACTTCAGGCAAGTCCCTTGGCCTCCCCAATCCATTCCCCACCTGCAAAACAGGGGGCACTGCCTCTTCCACCCTCTTCTTGTGACGTGTTTAGTAGATTTTCATAAGGTATGTATGCCAGCGCGCAGGACCTTGCTAATGGGAAATACTGTTGGTTCTGTTAGACCAGGTTGGCCCAAAGAGAACACACCCATGCTTTGGGCCTGTGCCTCCTGACTTCCGGTGCCTCCCCTCACCCCATTCTTTCTCCACAGACAAACTGGTCAAGTGTGAAGGCATAAGCCTGCTGGCGCAGAATACCTCGTGGCTGTTGCTGCTCCTGCTCTCGCTCTCCCTCCTCCAGGCCACAGATTTCATTTCCCTGTAACTGGATGGGCCCATGGAGGACACAGGAAGCCTCAAGGCCCAGTGCAGAGATCCTGCTTCTCTGAGCTGGCTCACCCCTTCCCCAAACCCCTACACATACTGGGGAGAAAAACAGACCCCATTCCCAATGAAGAACCCCAGTGCTGCATGCAATCATCTACCCACATCCCCCTCTCTGCACACCTCTGGCTGTCTTTTTGTACTCTGTCCCAGAGCTGCTTCTACCTGTTTTATTTAGGGGTTATCCTTCCTTTTCTTTGGGAGTGTGACAAGGAAAGCCAGGACAGGGGATCTGACAGGGAGTGAGGGTATGTGATGGGGAGTGGAGTGGGGGTTGAACCTGAGGGATGATCATCCTTGTCCACTGGGACCAGAAGCCTGGGAGGAGGAGGAAGTGGGTGTGTCTGGGCCTAGCCCAGATGTACTCTGTGCTGAGACCTCCAGACCCCAGGTGTGAGGGCGCCACGAGCGTGTGAGACATGTCACATGAAGGTGAGAAGTGAGTGTCTCCAGGAGCATTCTCAGCCACAGCAGAAAACTCCCTCCGGCTACTATAGAAGTCCCCTAGGGCCTTGGGCCAGGGGTGCTGCCCACTGAGGATACAGACTCAGCGGGAAGCAGCAGCACTAATACAAGATTGGCGGGGAGATAGTGAGGGTCTATCAGCTGGCTGTCCCCACCTAAGGAAGCTGAAAATGTGAGCCTGCTGTCCTTCACTGCAGCACCACCAGTTGAGAGTGACAGCAGGAGACAGTGCCCCCAGCTGTCCCAGGCTCCCAAAAGCTCTGTCCCACAGACTCAAAGTCAGTGGGATACCCAGAGCCCCACAGAATTTGCATCAATTTTCCAAGGGAAGTTCTTGCTCACCCATCACTCCCAGCCTCTGCCGGCTGGGCCCCAAGCCTCAAAACAGCCACTGCCTCCCAGGCCTATCTCCTCAGAGACTTCAGGGGGCCTGAGGCAGGCCTTGAGTGACACCCCAGGTGGCACACTCCTTGGGAGATAGTGTTTTCCAATACCCAGCCCCCCCACCCCTGGCGGCTCTGCCTGTCCTGTGACTGTGTGTAGTGCCACCACAGCTACTGGCATCTCATTGAGGAAAAAGAAAACTGCACAATAAAACTCGGCCTCTGGAGTCTATCCTTATGTCCATCTCTGCTAGGCTTCTCCACAGTCCCCGGACTGCCTCCTCCCCTTGGCTGGGAGTTTCTGTGGGCAGGAAGCCCAGTGAGACCCTGGGGGACACCAGCTCCTCCTCTGCCCTTGCCTTCTTCCTCTGCAGCCTCCACCCCCAGGGACATACCACTGCTTGCTGGGCTTCTTTTCAGAATGACTCAAACATGACAATTTACCCAAATAAATAAAAATCCCCTCTCTGCTGACTCACCTGGCTGCCACAGCAGACTCACCTGCCAAAGTGTGGGCAGAGCCCGGTGGCCCTGGTTCCAGGAGATACAAGCACATATGCAAGAACAAGTGCCGGTGTACAGTCTGCTGCTGCCTCCAGCTCTGGCTGTTCCTCAGAAAGACCCCTCAAGTGCCCTCTACTAGTCAGAGGGCACTGGAGCACAGGAGAGAGGTTCAGTGAGAAACGTCCATGTCATCAAGGTGGCACGACACGCGTCCATCCTTCAATCTAAGCAGTGTCTGCAGAAAGGAACTAGGGGTGGATCTTGTTCCTTTGGAAATAGAGAACAGTGCCCCCCCCCCACACACACACACACACACGCTGCCCTGAAATGAGAATAGCACCAGGGCTCATGCTTGGACAGGGGTTAGGCAGTGGCCACGGGTAGTCATGGCTCCAGCGGCTGTTAGTGAGGCAGCCCCTCCCCGGCCTGCCTGGCTTTGCCAGGGAATGTGCGGGAGGAGGCTGACTCATTTGGTATTTAGCACCATATAGATGGGTCTTTCTGAGCATTTTTCTTAAAGGCGCAGGTCTAATTTAATGCCACTCACTCCCACTCTCCTTACTGCCTCCCACTGATACCTCGGCCTTACGCTGGCCCCTGTAGTGACCATGCCCAAAGAGGACAGGAGAGCCCACCAGGAGGAGAAGGTGCCCGCTGCAGAGTGGGGTTGATGGCATTCAGCCTGATACAGCCAGTTCAGGGCTCCCCAAAACCCTCCAAACCCGGCTCCTTGCTCAGCACTTCCTTGGGGCTACAAGGGCAGTGCAGAGGGAGGAAGTTCTGGTGAGAAGAACTTTGGGTGGGGAAGGCAGGTCCAACAGGCCCCCAGACAGAAGTGAGGAGCGCCACCCTTGGGGCGGGACGGGGAGACCAGGTGTGAAACCTCAACTGAAAGCCTACGTGACGCTGCCTGGGTGGACTCTGCTGTCAGGCAGATGCTGGGGAAATGGGGTGCCCTGTCCTGCTCAGGGGAGCCCATACTGATTTCCCTGGGGGTTCCTGCTAGCCTGAGTAGCCACAGCCAGCAGAGGTCCACAGACTGTGGAAGGAGAGAGAATCAGGTCATCGGGCCACACAACATAAACTGACCACTGCAGTGGATGGTGGGTGCCCCAGGCTTTCACAGCAGGCCACAAGGGCCATGGTCTGTTGCTGCTGAGGTCACAGGTGTGGAGTAGGCTATGGGACATCTGTGGTGATGTGCCACTTATAAAGGACTGGAGCCTGCCCTGTACACATGCCCCAGCCACACACACGTGCACATCCATCCACCTCAACTCTCTCCGTCTCAACCTTTAGCCCCTCATCCCTACCACAAGGGCTGAATTCTCGCTGAAGTGCAGCAGCAGCCGCTCTCCATGCTCCCATTCCTGGACCCGGTTATCCACGATACAGATCACAGCTGCCCAGGGCAACATGGTAGGGTTTCTATGACGGGTAGGGCCTCCCTTGGGAAAGACAAGGGGATCTCCATGTGTGACATATGGAGACTTTCAGTGGCCAATCAAGGAATCCTTATGGGATTGGAGACCTGCGACATGGATGTTCCTACCTCTGCAGCGTGACATCTATCTCCTGTGTTCATGTGGGTGTCCACACTGAAAGAAGCAAAGCCCAAGTTGAGAGCAACTATTTCCTTATTTATTGGCAAAAGAACATTGGGGCTGGATTCCCTCTAATTCCTGGCAAGCCGTGAGGGTGGCTGGCACTGCTGCACTCAATCCGGGAGGGCAGGGCTGGGGATTTAGCTCAGCAGCACAGCGCCTGCCTGGCAAGAGCAAGGTCATGAGTTCGATTCCTGGTGCCGGAAAAAAACAAAAACAAAAAAAATCCAGGAGGGCTTCGGGATGGAGGTGGGCAGCTTTCCTACCAGGGTTCAGCTCAGGATACTGTCAGTTCCAGCAATTCCCCCACCCCTCAGGGTGTAGACACCGCAAGTCTAGACTCACAGGAAGCATCTGCCTGACAAAGGGAAGACTGGGGGCAGGAGGAGGTGTGGAAGTGGACACAGGGTATACCGGGCATGTAGCACCAAATGGCAGTCCCAGGAGGCCATCTGTCAGTCCACACCAAAAAGGGGCTCTGACAGCTGGAGCGCCCAGGAAGTGTCCGGCAGTGGGTGTGGTCAGGAGGAGGCCACTGGGTGTACAATGGGCAGTTTCCTAAATCCTGTGGGAACCTGGACTAGATAACCCTCGTTATGCTCTTCAGGCTTCCCTTTGGTAAGTGTGTGTGTGTGTGTGTGTGTGTGTGTGTGTTGCTGCAGTTCAAAGTCCAGGCCTCACAAATGCTAGGCCTGCACTCTATCACTGAGCTATAATCCCAGCCCTTCTTATGTTATTTTGCCACAGGGTCTCATTAAGTTGCCCAATCTGGCCTTGAACTTGCAATCCTTCTGCCTCAGCCTCCAGAGTAGCTGGGATTACAGGTGTGTGCCACCATGCCTGGGCCTTTCAGTAATTCTTAAAATGGTTGATTTGACCTGAAATCATTTTATTTGCACAACAAACATTAAGTACCTAAATGTGTACTCTGCTAAGGTGTAAAAGAGATAGCCCTTGGCTGAAGGAGGCTACAGTCCAGTAGGAAGCAAGGAATCGATTTAGTACAGTGATCAGGGCTGTGAGGCAGGAAAGCTGCGTTAGACTCTGTTGGGTGTCCCACAATATGGCTCCTCCTCTTCTTTCTCAGAAAGGGACCCACAAATTAGAATTGGAATATGTGGCCCAGAATGAAGTCCACATCTCTCAGCCCCCTTGCTAAGTTCTGTCAAGGGCCTTCAGCACAAAATGATACCTGTGATTTCTGTGAAGGGCTCTGTGAGGCAGAAAAGGTGCCTTTCTCTCTCTTTTACTTTCCTGCCAGCTGCAATGAGACTGGCTACAATTGTTGGCTAGAACTGGAATGGCCATCGTGGACTATGAGATAGCAAGCTGGCTGTAGTGGTTGACTGATTATGTGAAAAGTTTAGAAGCATAACTAAACTTGGCTCAGCAATTGGCTCAGCAATTCCACACTCCAGGGTGTAGAGGAGCCATCCTAGAGTGGATCATCACCTAGATAGTATAAAAGGGAAATGAAGAAGAGCAGAGGAACTTCCATTCCTTTTGGAGGAGCTCCAGTCTTCACCTTCAGTTTGGACTTCATCTCCTGGCTTCTAGTACAGACTCTTCGGCTTCCGCCTTGGATCCTTCAGCCTTCCATCGCAGACTCATTGGCCTCCTGGTACGGACTTGCGTGGAACTCTGCAGCGAACTCCAGAGCCTGGACTGATTCCTTCGGTCTTCAGTGTGCAGACACCCTCTGTACACTTCCTCATACAACTCTCTCTCTGGCTGACTGTCGTAAGCCAATCTTGTCATTTCTTATAATTTGTACATCCTGTGTTATATCTGTTTCTCCAGTAAAACCCTGACTGATACACTGGCAAAGCACAAGACATGAGCCAGGGCCCTTGTGATCGATGGAGCTGCCACAGCAGCAGCCGCGGACCACTTTGTTATCTGGAGTTTTCCATATTCACAGCTAAACCTAAAATTACCTTAAAGTGAAACCACTACTTGACACCACTGGACTGTACACTTAAAAATGGGCAAGATGGTAAATTTTAATTGAAAAAAAAAAAAGAAAGGGGCTGGGGATTTAGCTCAGTGGCACAGCACCTGCCTGGCAAGCACAAGGTCATGAGTTTGATTCCCACTACTGGAAAAAAAAAAAAAAAGAAGAAGCCCAAGGCCAGGTGTGATGGTGCTTGCCTGTAATTTCAGTACTCGGGAGGCTGAGGCAGGAGGATTACTATGAGCTCAAGGCCCGCCTGGGCTACAAAGTGAGTTCAAGGCCAGCCTGAACTACATAGTGAGACCCTGTCTCAAAAAGGCAAAAAAAAAAAAGTCCAAAGTCAGATTCCTAGAGACAAAAAAGGAGAATGATGGTTGCCAGGGGTTGAGGGAGGAAGGAAAGAAGAGTTACTGTTTTTTGGCTACAGGGCTTAAGCTTTGGGAGATGAAAAGAATTGTGTGGCTGGACCATGGGCGCTGGTAACACAACACTGTGAATGTACTCAAGCTACTCAGCTGTATTCTTGGAGAGCTGAAGAGGTAGACGTTAAGTCCATTCTACCACAATTAAAAAGAAGAATCCAAGGCAGAAGGAAATCTTGGGAGACGATTATATGGGTGTACATTTGTCAAAACTTATCAGACTGCTTACTTAAAATAGCTAAGTTTCAGTAAGTCATTCTTTAGTAAAGTGCTAGGGAGTCTATATCCATGGCTCCTTCATCAGGCTCAAAGGCTTCCCAGGGAAGAGTCATAAGTAAGAGTCACACAAGTATACTCTGCATTTTGCAAGCGGATTACAAAGCATGAAGTTTTGTTTTATTTCCTCTACATCATGCAAAACTTAGCAATAAGACACAGACAAGCCCTGCCACTGTGCTATGGTTTGGAAGTGTCCGCCTAAGGCCCGTGCATTGAGGATTTGGTCAGTAGCCTGTGATGCTACTGGAAGGTGGTGCCTCGTGGGAGGGAGCTGGGTCACAAGGGGCCTTGAAGGGGATTTGGGGATTTGGGGACCGCAGTCCCCTTCTGTTTCTCTCTCCCTCCCTGCTGCCATGAGGCAAGCAGTTTCCTCCACCATATGCTCCTACCGTAATGCTTTGTCCCACCACAGGCCCAAGAGTAACAGGGCCAAATGACCATGAAATGAAATCTATGCCAAAATAAATCTTTTTAAGTGTATTATTTTAGATATTTCATCACCATGACTAATATACCTTATAACACTCACATTCTAGAATGGAAGATGGACATTAAGCAAGTAAACCAACAAATAAATCTGGTAGTTACAGCTTGGGATCATTTATATGTAGAAAGCAATAAAGAAAACTGGGTGACCCTCTTGTGAGGGTGACTAGGGAGAGCCTGAAGGGGTGGCCTTTGAGCTGAGACTTGAAAAAGGAGAAAATGCCAGACCCTGGCAGAGCTGCAGGAAGCATAGCTAGGTGGAGGGAACAGTAAGGACACATACAAGCTGTCCAGACAAGGCAGGGATGTTGTTAAAGAGGAAGACACCGCCAGGGAAGGTATCCCATGCCTGTAGTCCTGCCTACTCCAGAGGCAGAGGCAGGAAGATCACAAGTTTGAGGACAGCCTGAATGATTAAGCAAAAATTTGTCTCAAAAATAAATAAATGTTTCCATCGTGGAAACATCCCAAATGCCCATCAACTGAGGAATGGATAAAAAAAGATGCGGTATTCTTACATAATAGAATAACTTTATAACTCAGCTATAAAGAAAGATAAACTCAAGGCTTTCATAGGTAAATGGATGCAACTAGAGACCATACTCAGAAGTGAAATAAACCAGACTCATGTGTAAACATCCTCTTGTCTCCCTCGTTTAATGAACTTAAAAGAGTAAATAAAATCTGAAAGGTACAATAGATATTGGGAAAGGAGAGCAACTGCTCAAAAAGGAAAGAATGACTGGGATGAGGGAAAAGAGAAAAGAAAGAAAGAAGGAAGGGAAAAAAATATATATATATATATACACACACACACAAGATAGCTAAGATAATTGTACTCCTGTTTCCATTGTTTTATTGAAAGAAACAGTTAATGTTTAATTGTTTGATCAATTTTACATGCCCATATTTGTTTATCTGAGTAAACAATTTGAAGATAACAATATGCAACACAATAACCATTGTTAATTTTCTATCACCTTGTCTGAAATTCTGTATTGCTTTTATTGTTTTTATGTTGTTTTGTTTATGCCTGTGGGTTTGCTCATTTGTTTTGGTTCCTTTCTCTTGAAAATAAATGAATGATAAATGGGTCGGCAAAGCCAGGTCCATATAGCCTTACAGGTCGTGCTGATAGTTTGAATTACATTCTAAAAACAACAGGGAAGTCCTAATCCTACGCCTTAGAAACAGACTGAGAACAGCGATGGAGGAAAGGAATCAAGAGAGTGTTGCAGCAGTCCTAAAACACAAGGACAGTTGTACTGGTTAAACTAAAGACAAATGCCGACCTTCAGAGACATGAAGAACTAAAGCAGAAAGGGCTCGTGAAATTAGAACAAGCTGTGTGTATTATACTAACGTCAGTTTCCCAGCTTTGTTCCAGGACTACAATCACACAGGGTATCACCCCTGGGAAAATGGGGCGAAGGGTGCATGAGGCCTCTAACCTCTGCACCTCAAGATTCAGACAGCATCTCTTGCAGTTAGTTTTGTAATTTCTTGTAAGTTTGTTTGTTTAATGGTACTAGGAACTGAACCTTTTCACTGAGCTACATTCCCAACCCTTTTTTAATTTTTTTTTTTTTTTAATTTTAAGACAGGATCTTGCTAAATCCTCCAGCTTTGGCCTCCCAGAGTGCTGAGATTACAGGCATGCACCACCATGCCTGCCTCATTACTTTAAAATTTTAAAATGTTGTTCTCAATACAATTTGCCTCCCATGGCAAATATTTAGCTCCAGAGGGAGGACAAAAGAACAATAACCATAGTGCTTACATGGCTTGGCTGTGAGTAATATTTACATAATCACAGTAATATGAACACTTGTTAGAATCTGAATGTTTACCTTTCACAAAACTTACTACATTGAAATTCTGACCCCTAAAATGGAGATATTTGAAGGCAGGGCCCTGCAGATGTGCTATGGTTTGAATGTACCCCACAAATAGCATGTTTCTGTCACTTAATCCCCAAGACACAGCTTTGGGAGATGAGGCCTAAGAGAGTTGTTTCATTCATGAAGTCATGGTCATCCTCACCATGAACTGATGCCAGTTATAAAAGGGCTTGAGGCTGCCAGCTCACTCTTGCTCCTGCACGTATGTGACGCCTTCCACCACATATGACACAGCAGGAAGGCCCACGGCAGATGTGGGTGGGCCCTCCATCTTGGACATCCCGGCCTCCAGAATCACGAACCAAATAAACCTCTGTTGTTTATAAATGATGCAATCTGTGGTATCTTGTGATAGCAGCACAAAACACACTGCGACAGGAGGTCATGAGGTCATGACAGTGGATGCCTCGTGAGCTGAATTAGTACCGTATGACGGAGCCCGGAGCTCCCTTCCCCCAGGTAAGGATGCAATAAGGAGGCGCTGATTGTAGCAGGAAGACAGATGGCTCTAACACCAGATCGGCCAGCTCTTTGATCTTGGGCTCTCTAGCTTCCAGGGCGGTGAAAAATAAATTTCTCTCGTTTATAAGCCACGCTGTCTGTGATGTTTTGTCATAGCAACTGGAATGGATTAAAACAACATGAAATACTAACTTAACCAAAAATTGTAATATAGCCATGTGGAACGGATGGGGAAAGGATTAGATTAGGGGAAGAAATGCACATGTGAAAGAGTCAAAACCACATTTTCTATAACTGAAAGTTAACAACTAACACTGAACACCGAAAACTCAAGCTGGGCGTGGTGGCTCCTGCCTGTAATCCCAGCACTTGGGAGAATGAGGAGGAGGATCACTGTGAGTTCAAGGCCAGCCTGGACTACATGGTGAGACCCTGTCTCAAAAACTAAAAAAACTGAAAAATCAAAAAATAGCGCTATATATGAGAAAATTTAAAATATAGAAGTAAATATCAGAAAAACAGCTAAGCAGCTGAAAATGGTCACTTAGGGAAATAAGAATATAAGATGGAGTAAAAGACTGCTTTTAAGCCAGGCATGGTGGCACATGCCTGTGATCCCAGCACTCGGGAGGCTGAGGCAGGAGGATCCTTGTGAGTTCGAGACCAGGCTGGGCTACGAAGTGAGCTCAAGGCCAGCCTGAACTGCATAGAGAGACCCTGTCTCAAAAAAAAAAAGGTTTACATTATAATCCTTTTGTCTCTGAATGTATCTGTTTTGTAAACAATATAAATCAAATATATTCAAAGAAATACAAGTATAAAACAGATGAGAACAAAAGAAGAGTTGCTTATGGTGATGGCTTAAATGTTGGGGTGGATTGAGAGGAGGGAAGAAGGGATCTAGGATAACCTTTGGGTGATTACTTGAACAACAAGTAAAAAATGATGCCATTTATTGAGATAGAAAAAACTGGTAGAGGAACTGGGTGTATACTCAGGGGTAGAGCACTGTCTAGCATTCACAGGTCCCAGCACCATAGAAAGGAAGGGAGGGAGGGAAGGAGGGGAAGAATGAGGGGAAGAAAAAGGAGGGGAAATGGGTGACAGGCAGGCAGGGAGGGGGAATATTGAGGGCGAGAACTGAATATATTAAATCTGCAAAGGCATAAAATATCCAAAGAACAGTATCAGGACCTTTACACTATCTAGCTGGATGTCCCCGTCCTAAGCACAGGTTAGAGATTAAGGTTAGAGATAAAAATTTGATAGAAGTCAGGATCTGAATGGTAGCTATTAATACAACATTTTTTTTTTGAAACAGGGTGTCACTTTGTAGTGCTGGCTGACCTTGAACTCACTGTGTAGCCCAGGCTGGCCTTGAATTCACAGTGGTTCTACAGCACATTACAGGCGTGTGCTACCACATCCGGCTTGAATGGTAGTTGTTGATCATGGAACAGGTAAGATCACGACGGGGGGGAGGGGGGGCGAATACTAGAAAAACCATCCTCTAATTCTGGGCCCAACCCTAGAATCTGTAGGCCACTAATAATTAGGGATCGGGGAGGGGGTTAAAGAAGAGCAGCGGCGAAAGCCAGGGGTCCATGGAGTCAGAGAAGGGAAAGATTTGAAAATTAAGAGTGGCTGACTAGGTCAACTGTTGTTAAGAAGTCAAGTAAGATGAGGGCCAATGTGTTGGTAACTACGGTAGCAAGTCTCCAGAAATGCCTTCCCCCAAAGCGGCTCCGCCCTGCGTCACCCTGCCTGTTGAACCTGACACGGCCCAGTGTCTCTGGGGGAGCCAAGCTGTATGCCTTCTACCAGCAGATCTTAAGAAGTACTGCAGCTTCCAGCCAGTTCTGGAATGCTCACTCTTGGGACACTCCCATTTGGAATCCAGCTTCCTTTTTGGGAAGCCCAAGTCACACAGACTTCTAGGCACTCGAGTCACCAGCACCAGCGAAGCTCCCAGCCAACAGCCATCATCAACTGCCAGCCGTGTCAGGGAGCCGTCCATCCCAGCAGCTGACAGCAGCCTCACAGACAGCCCCAGCAAGAACCTCCCAGCTGAGCTGGCCAACCACAGAAGCGTGGACAAGCTCATCAGTTGTCCTTTATAGCCACTGGATGACCATAAGAGTGACTGACAAGAGCAATAAATGGAGCAGTGGTTAACAGGAGCTAGATTGGGGCAGGTGCCTGAGAATAAAGAGAAGAGCAGAGACTTTTCCAGGAACAGTGGCTGTGGCTGGCTGGTGTGGGGAGGCAGTCGGGGCTGGTTTATTGATTCCTGGTGATAGGGAAAGGCTGAGGAAGAAGAAAGTGGAGAATTGGAGTCTTTGGGAAGGCAAGAAGGGGGCTCTAGAGCCAGAAATAAAGACAAAGAAGATGGGTGTGGAAGAGGGAGGTGTGTGGATTCAGAGCTTGCTGCAGTTTGTAGGCTTTTTAAGGTTTGAATGTTGAAAACTTAATCCCCAAATTCATATAATAATGGCATTTGGAGGGACCTCTGTGGAGTAGTTAGGATTAGATGGGTTCGTGAAGGTCAGGCCCCCTGATGGCATTAATGGCTTTGTGAGATAAGAAGAGGGCATAGGAGTGCAACACTATGGTAGAGAACTTGCCTAGCAACCTTGAGGCCCTGGGTTGTATCCCACCAGAGAGAGAGAGAGACAGAGAGACAGAGAGAACCAAGCCAGCATGCCTGTTCTATCCCCCCATGTGATGTCCTCTGCCACATTATGATGCCACACAAAGACCCCCCCACTCACCAGACACCAAGCAGATACCAGCATCATGCACTTGCTGAGTCTTCCCAGCCTCCAGAACTTTAAGTCAAGCAAATTTCCTTTATAAATTACTCAGTCTCGAGGGTTTAGTTGTAGCAACAGAAAGCAGACTATGACAGGGCTTTTTTCATAAAAGAAGCCTCTGTTTTCTCAAGGACATACAAGGCAGCTGTATGAAAGGGAGGCGAGATGGGGAGGTGGAGGAAGCTTGAAAAAGGAAGTATACTCAGAGAAGCATCGCAGAAAACTCAGATGCGTAATTCCAGGAGTTAGAGAGACCTAGCTTCAATTCCTGGCCTGGCCACGTCACCTTACCTTCTTGAGGGTCAGTGCCTCCAAATGTGATGATGATGATGGTGATGATGGAAAAGTCACCATTTCAGAAAGTGGGAATGGTAGCAGAATTCTGAAAACAGCCTCCTAGTCTCACCTCCTAATCCTTGAGATCTGAGAACGAGACCTCACACACATGCCTGTGCTTTTACACAGTGTAGGAGCAGAGGGCAGACCCACCTGGAAGCCAGCACGGAAACAGACCTCAGATCCAACAGCCCTGAAGGAGATTCTTCCAACAACCTGATTTGTTGTTTGTTTGTTTGTTTTTACAGTACTGGAGATTGAACCCAGGGCCTTCACACTGAACTATATCCCCACCCCCTTTTTATTTTTTATTTTGAGACAGGGTCTAAGTAAGTCACTTATGTTGCCCAAGCTGGGCTCAGACTTGAATGATCCTTCCGCCTCAGCCTCCCAAAGTTCTGAGATTGCAGTTGTGCACCATCATGCCTGGCCTAGAAGAGAATTCTTTTCTTGGGCCTTCAGATAGGAGCCTAGCCTGGGGGACACTCTGATTTTGGCCTTATGAGACCCTAAACAGAGAACTAGCCAAGGTTACCAGGACTTCTGACCTGAGATAATAAATGGTGGTTTAAGCTACTACAGTTCTGAGTGTGTGTCATGCATCAAGAGAAAACTAATCTAATGGGGAAATAGTCACAGCTAAGAAATGTGACAGAGCTGGTGGGTAGCACTGAGTGTGTCCATCTGAGATCTGTGCTCGTGAACACAAAGTAGACCTGACCAGGTGCTTTCCCTGTATCATCCGCCTGTGGGTACAGCCAAAGGAGGTGATGAGACTGTCTCAGTGGGGTCAGGTGTTCCCAGGCGAGAGCAGCAGAGGGAAGGAGAGGCAAGGCTTGGGGGAGGCTGGCAGAGGAGAATATAACAAGACATCATCGCCCAAGCTGGGTATGGATGTGAAGGTGTCCATGGATGAGCAGGTGATCCATGGTCAGAAGAGCAGGGGGCGTCAAGAAGTCCACAGGCTGGTGAGGGAACCGGAACCTCTGAACCTTAACACTCGTCCAAGGCCTACTTACCCTCTGTTCTGTTTCCTGGCCCAGCACACTTGAGAGTGGAAGACCACTGCCTTTAGAAGGACCCAGACTCATCACCACCCCCAGAACTGGGTGATACCTATAACCCTAGCAGACCTCACACATCTGCCTTAGCTATGAGAGGCCCCAGCAAGACTGCAGGACATCTCTGGTTCTAGTTTGGTTCCTCTCACTTTCCTTCTCTGCCTGGGTGAGGCAAAGCTCTTCACTGCTTCCTTACCAGTCCCCTGTGTGTCACCCCTCAGCTCCTGTAAACACCCGCTAGACCAAGACTCCTTCTGTACAGAGCACCGAAAGCCCAGCAAAGAGGCCCTTTCTCTCCCAACTTCTAAGAAAGCGGGAAGCCACAAAACAATTCCCATGCAAACATATTTAACATGCCTCTCATGTCAGTGGCATTTGTTTTACATTTAGGAAATAAAAAGCCCTTTGTAACAAGTTTCCATGGCACAGAATCAGCAGCCCCAGTGAATGTAAGTCTCCTTCTCCACACACCGACACCACTTTGCAACTTTTAAATGAAGTTTCTCACGCTTTTTCTTTTTCTTTTTTTTCTTTTTTTTTTTTTGTTTGTTTGTTTTTTGTTTTTCTTCTGGTACTGGGAATCAAACTCACGACCTTGCGCTTGCCAAGCAGGCGCTGTGCCGCTGACCTAAATCCCCAGCCCCCTCTCATGCTTTTTCTAATGTTTCCAAAAAAAAAAATCACAGGATCTAATCTCAAGCCAGGTTCCCTGAAGCTAAGCAAGGAGCACAACACCAAGGGAACGCTATCTTCTGCATCAAAATAAACTGGATTCTCTACTGTCCTGTTAAAACTGAAGGAGAATCCTAAAAACAGTTACCTGGAATGATAAATGGAAATTACACGATACACATTCCTGCTAATCTCAGGCCTGCCTGTAAAGTGCCATTGATATTTACTCACTTTTCTCTCTTTATTTCTACACATACATTAATGGTTCCTTCAAAACATTTCCTTTCTTTAGTTCATGTGCTAAATTTTAGTGCTTCATTTTATTGAAAATAAAGCATTTATCAAGCATGGTGTCACAGGCATAGTGGCACATGTCTATAATCCCATCACTCTGGGAGGCTGAATGAGGTAGGAGGATCGAAAGTTCAAGTCTAACCTGGGCAATTTATCAACTCAGCAAGACTGTTTCCAAAAAACACGTACAAAAGCCCTGAGTTCAAACCCCATGGGGGTGCGGTATTAAGCATCATTTCATAAGATCATTCTGTATTCCTAATCTTGCTATTTACCAAGAATCTTTTCTTACAAAACCCTTAACAGTTTCAGCAAACTAACTTTCACAATTAAAAGGAGGGTGTTGCAAAACCAGGAGACATAAGAATAAAATCCCAAATCAGACAGAAGCAATGGAAAGGATGGGAGATTTTAGACAGAATCAAAAGAATGCAGCCCTCCCTAGATATAGGGCAGTGTTGAGATGATCCTTTCACTGTGATTTGGAGCTTTCTGCTTTCTTCCCTATGGGCCCACCTTGCACCCTGCCGCTCTATGCTTATGTTTCAGCCAAGGGATGTGATGACAACACCAGGAGGAAATGAATCCACGTCTGGTGTTTGAACTTCAACTGTCCAGGCCCTTCAAAACACAGAGGACTTCCACCTGGACAAAAGAGGTAGAGGGAGTGTCCTGGGCAAGCCAAGGCCTCCCACTGGCATTACATCATACCACCCATGGACAGGAGCCAGCAGTGTGGAGAGACAGCAGATCCCAAGTAGGTTGTGGAGATCTGATGCAGGAGGACCCCAGCTGTCCGTGTATAGTCCATTTCTGTCTGGGGTGACAGGTCCCCAGAATGAGGTGCCTGTGCATGAAAAGAAAAACAAGAGAGGCAAAATTCTGGGATCAGGGGGTTTCAGCCTCCAGGACTGTCGCCCCATTACCATTTTCTGTAACATTTATTGAGAAAGAACAAAAGCAGCAACAGGGCAAATGGGAGGAATAATTAACAGGACTGGCAAGGACAATACAACTTAACTATCACAGGAAGGAGACTTGACTTACTTAGCCATCATGTTATCATTCCTTCGGGCATATCTCAGCAAAGCATCTAGTGCTGTCCCAGAGACTTTCCACAGGGGCACAGGTCCTGCTATCATTTCCTTTTACACTAATGCTTTTGCTTGACTTCCTCCAGAATCAAACAGTCATACGGCTTTGTCAGGCCCGAAGTCTCAAATAGGGAATACATTGAAAGATAAACTAAAGAATGTCCTTCTCCACACCCAGCCCTATATCCTGGCTCAGGAAGGATACAAAGCCCCAGAAAAGGAAACACTTTCCGAGACAGCTTACACCATGGACAGCACCCTACTTCCTGGTACCACTCCAGAGTACAGTAGCAGCACATGATCCCAGTATCCAGGAATGACGGGGAACGAAGAGACACCAGATCTAACAGGCCATGAAAGCAAGAACTGAGCAGTGGATTTCTCAGTGGACAGTGGGTGGCCATTTAGTAACAGGAACCACTTCTTCCACCTGTGCTGGGGCAAAATATAAGTAAGAGCCACCCTCCCAGAATGTAGGTACTCTGAATCCAAACGCAAGGAACAAATTCTCTAGGCCACCACCATTCTGGAACATGGTGCTCTTGGGCTCACTTCTCAAAGCAAAGTCAGTTTTACAATTTTGAGGATGCAACAGGTGGAGTCCTGCTGCTTCTTCTGATGCTCTCAGCCCATTTTTTCTATTCTCCTGTTGCTTCTAAGCAATCAAGATCTCTGCTCTATCTTTGCAGTCCACAGCTTTACTGGAGTTTCCCTTCTGGCCAAATTCAAAACATTTTAAATCATTCTTCTGGGCTCTTTGCTCTTGATTCTCAATATAAATCTGGCTAAAAGCCCCCAACAGTAGCCATGCCACTGCCTCAACATTTGCCTTGAAATTTCTTCTGCAAGATGAATTAGTCTGCTGCCCTTTATCTTAGTCTCAGGCAAAGTCTCTGGACAGGAGCAAAATGCAGGCAAACTTTCTGCCAAGCCATAATACACATTGTCTGGCCTCCAACAGCCAATGCAGTCCTTCTTCCCAGCAGAAACTTCCAAGCCTGGTCTTTACCAACACAATTTCCATCAAGTCTGAGCTCTGGCAAGAATCTCCCAGTTCCAGCTCTACTTTTTCAGTTGGCATCTCTGAACTTTTCCAAACTCTTCCCATATCGAGTCCCGAAGGTTCCTGAACTACATGGTCAGGTAGTTACACAGCAACAACTCCACTTCTCTGGTACGAAACTCCAACTTAGTTACTTTTCTCATTGCTGAGACAAAATACCCAACACCCACAGTTAAAGGAGGAAAGGTTTGCTTAGCTCACAGTTTGTAGAGCTTTCAGTCCATAATTAGCTGGCTCCAAAACAAGGTGGTGGGGCAAACAGGCATCACAAAGTAGATACAGTACATGTGGGCAGAAAGTTGCAAAAAAAAAAAAAGCGAGGGGCAACCACAACTCTTTTTGTCCCTTTTATCTTATCCAGGCTACCTGCCCTTAGAGTAGCCTCGCACCCTTAATTTTAGTGCCTTTGATCCTAGCATTGCACCATGAATCAATCCCAGCATCACACACTGTAGATCCAGCCACCTCTGAAAAAGCCCCACCTATGACCACATGAGGCTTTGTGGGGACATCTAAACACAAGCTGTAACAGCTTCTTTCTTCATCCTTACTCTCAGCTGACCTTGCTTCCTAATTCACTGAGAGGGGAAAGGCCACCCAAAGCGAAGGTTCACCAGTTTCTACCATCCTCTCTGCACCTGTCCACAAGTACTGTCTTCCTTTTTCACTTTGAATTGACCACACGTGTTCCTAACCAAAGCCAGCCCCTATTTCTTTGGGTTTTGTTTTGTTTGTTTGTTTGTTTGTTTTGAGACAGGGTCTCACTATGCAGTTCAGGCTGGCCTTGAACTCACTTTGTAGCCCAGTCTGGTCATGAATTCACAACGATCCTCCTGCCTGAGCCTCCCGAGTGCTGGGACTACAGGTGTGCGCCACCACACCCGGTTTCTATTTCAGTAATCAATCCCTCCCCTCCTCTCCCACCTGTCACTCTCTGGACAGTCTCTTAGCCCTAACATCAGCCTGTATTTTGTAATGCCTCTTCCCTATACAGTTATTTTTCCACTTAAAATTTCCCCTGAACTCAGTTCTTTCAGATACCACACAATTTCTCTCCTTTCTTTAAGCAAAACTCCTAAGAGTTGTCCCTGCTGTTTCCACCCTTCTCTTCCCATTCTTTCTTGAACTTGCTGACAGTCAGATTTTCAGCCCAACCACTCTATCAAAAATGTTCTACCAAGGTCACCTTCTAAATCAATTCTCAAACTCATCTCCCTTGATCTATAGGCAGCATTTGACGCATTCAATCTTTCTCTGCTCTTGGCATCCACTATATCTCCACTTCTGGGGTTCTTTTCTCTACTCTACTGGCCATGCTTCATTTCTCTGATGGTTCCAATTCATCTCTGAAAGCCCAGGATTCAGTCCTTTCCCATTTTTCTACTACACTTGCACCATCAGTATTCTCTTCTAATCCCAGAGTTTGACATAACATCTAAGGGGCCAGTGATATATCTCAGTGGCACAGCACCTGCCCAGCAAGTTAAAGGTCCTGAATTCAACTCCCAGTACCAAAAAATAAATACATAACATCTAAGGATCCGGGCATGATGGTGCATGCCTGTAATTCCAGCACTAGGGAGGCTGAGGCAGGAGGATCGAAAGAGTTCAAGCCCCAGTCTTGGCTATATAATGAATTCAAGGCCAGCTTGGACTATATAGCAAGACCCCTGTCTCAAAAATAAATTTTAAAAATCTATATGCTAATGCCTCTCAACTTTCTATCTCTAGCCCAGACCACACCACCTGTGAACATCCCATTGCCCTTTTTTTTTTTTTTTTTGGAGACAGACTCTCGCTCTGCAGTTCAGGCTGGCCTTCAGCTCACTTTGTAGCCCAGGCTGGTCTCAAACTTGCAACAGTGACCTTCTGCGCTGGCTCCCTTCTCATCTGTTCTCCCTGTAGTAGCTAAAGGGATTCTGTTGAAACAAATACCAGTTCCATGTCCCTCCTCTGCTCAAAATCTTCCAATGGTTCCCATCTCAGGGTAAAAGTCAAGGTCATCAGAATAACTCTAGGGTCCTATGAGGTGTCTCTCCCTCTTTCCAGCCACATCATCTTTGTTTCTGCTCAAAAGTAGCAGGTAGAACCCACCTCAGCACCTTGGCACTTACTTCCCTCTCTGCCTAAAACCTTCTTTCCCCAGATATGCAAAGGGCTCACTCCTTACTCCAATGTCACCTTCATACTGGGGCATGTCTGTCCCCACACCACACTCCACATCCCTGTCCCTGCTTACCTGGCCTCGACAGGGTTTTTTCTGTTTTTGTTTTTGTTTTTTTGGCACTGGGAATAGAACTCAGGACCTTGTGCTTGCCAGGCAAGCATTTGTGCCACTGAGCTATATCCCCAGCCCTGGGCTCCACAGCTTTAACAGCCATCTAACATACTGTACATTTTACCTTTTCGTTATTATCCTTCTGCTTCTACTAGCATGTAAGCTCCTTGAGTGCAGGGATTGTGCCTGTTTTGTTCACTGCTATATCCCCAGGTCCTAGAGGAGTACCTAGCATGAAGGGAAGGTCCCAAGGAAATGTAGAGGGCAGAGATCCAGACAGACATGGTCTTGGACAAAGGAAGGATAACTCTTTCACTGCTCCTGGAGCAGGGGTAAGGAAGCATTCAAATATCTGTGCGGGTAGAAATGTAAGCACAGTATTTCTTCCTGGGTGCTTCTAATCTCTCTGGGCAACACAAGAGAAGGAAGTACTTGGAGTGGTGGGACTGAGCATGTAATAGAGTGCTTAACCTAGTATGCGTAGGACATGAGTTCCATCCCCAGTGCTAAAAAGGGAAGAGGTAGGGACTCCTAGAAGGTCCAGCCTGAATTGCATAGTGAAATCCTGTCTCAAAAAGACAAAAAAGAAAAATGGAGAAAAAGAAGCTGAAAACGTATATTGGCCTTGACATTAGCTTGACATCAACCTACCTGGTTGGGTAGTCTCTTCACCAGCATGGAAGAGAGTGTTGTATAATAAAAATCTGAGCAGCATTCCTTGAAAGTCCAAAGGGAATTCCTTCCATTGACTCAGTGCCTCTGTTTACCCACCCAAGCAATCATCACTATCCACTGTTCCCGTGGGGGGAAAAACTGAGCAGGGTAACTCACTTTGTAGCCCAGTCTGGTCTTGAATTCACAACGATCCTCATTTTACCCCACATTTAAGAGTGGGGTAAAAAAGCCAGGCATGGTGCCGCTTGCCTGTCAGCACTCGGGAGGCTGAGGCAGAAGTATCTCTGTGAGTTCAGGGCCAGCCTGAACTGCATAGTGAAATCCTGTCTCAAAAAGACAAAAAAGAAAAAAGAAAAAAAAATGGAGAAAAAGAGAAGCAGCTGAGGAACTGGGCCTCCCTCATTCTTGTGGAAAGGAGCAAGTCTTCCCTAAAATCTGAAAGTTGATACGGACCAGGGCTCAAACGCAGAGCCTTCTCCAGTGACACTACTCTATTCCAATACCTTCCAGCTGCCCGGTCGTGTCACATTCCAGTCCACTTCTTTCTGCGCTCCACCCGCTCCAAACTGGCGTGCTATTCCTCCACGTGGTTCTCTGTGTATATCGGTTGCCCGGGAGACCCTAGCCGGGCGGGGCTCTAGTGACATCACAATAGTAACAAGCCAATAGCAGTGACGTATGTCAGTGACGCAGAACGCGGGGTGGGGCTTCGCCAGCCGGGGCGCGATGAGGTGGCTGCCCGCTGGGTGGCGCCGGTTTCCCCGGGAGGTCCTTTCTGGGCCCCCGGAGGAGGTGGGGGAGAGGCGAGCAGGAGCCGAGTCCAGGGAGCCCTCTGCGTCAGCTGCTGCTCGCTGAGCCGCCCCAGTACCAGCCAGGACTCACCCGCAGCTCCATGCTTGTGCCGGGTTCGACTCGTCCATCCTCCGAGAAGCGGCAGGTATGTGCCACCTGTCGGAGATCGGGGAAGGGGGGTAGGGGGGTCAGTGTCAGTCTTAGGTTCGGAAAGTAAGGTGTCAACGACCACCTCGGCAGAATGGCCGCTAGAAATGTAGGGTGAGGGCCAGCTGTGCGGGGGAGCTCCAGTTGTGTGTGTGTGAGGGGGCCTGCCAGCTGACAGCCAAGGGTGCCAGGAAGAGCCATCTGTGTGTGCTGATCAGTGTGTTCTAAGGGAACACTGCCTCAGCGGGTCCCGGTCGCGGTGCCTTCTGTGGGATGTGGCCTGAGAGTGACGCCTGGACACGGACAACCCCACGTGTGCATGCAGCTCACTTACTCTCTGCTTCCAAAGCTCCCTGGTGCTATCTCTGGTCATTTTGCCAAAGGGGGGAGGGGGCTGGGGGAGGACATCAGTTAAGTGGAAGGACAAATTTTCCACCAATCCCAAACCAGAAAGAGGCAACTTTGAAATTTTCACCAATCCCAAATCAGAAGCAGGCAAGTGGTGCTCCAGCCAAGCAATTTAACAACCAAAAGAAGCCCTGGCCAACCCATTCCAACTCTTCTGTAGGAGTGAACATGGGAGCTCCTGACCTGGATGCTTATAGAGCAAGGGCTGAATTGGAGATGGCAGTAGGGGCCACTTTCCCCGAGCACAGGCGGGAGAACATCCCTGACCCACCAGGAAAGCCTGGAGGAGTGAGAGCTGGTGGCTGGGCTAGCGTGGGACATCCCCACTCTTTTGATGCTGTGTGTAGATGCGTGCTAGAATGGAATGAGGCCTGGAATGAGGGCGTCCTCGGCAGTGCCTCATCGGAACCCAAGCTGAGTCAGTGGCCGGTGCTGAGACAGGGTGGAGGCCCCAGCCCGGGTCCTCCCAGTCCTCAGGGAGAGCCCTCGAGAAGCAGGAGAATCATCCTGGGAGCAGACAGGTGCACCCAGGCCAAAGAGGCCAAGAACCTTGCTCCTTCCTCTCCTGACTCTGCCCAGCCCAGCTCTGCGGCCGTGGAACCCTGAGCCCTTGAGCAGGTAAAGGGTGGAGACACCCAGAGAGGCCAGGCGTCCTGCTGGTGGTTTGGGGGAAGCTACATTTGCCATCTTCATCTGGGCAAAAGGGGAAGGAGCCCCAGTGGGCTTGGCCTGTCGCGTTGGTGGACTGGACATCTGGGAAGATGACAAGCTTGCCCTTCCCATTTTGGGCACACAGACCAATTAGAGAAACCATGGGGCAGAGCACTCTCTGAAGGGTACCGTGAGATCCTTTTCTTCTAGGAAGGGTCACCTGCTGTTACTAATACTCCCACTAAGTAGAATAGATAGACGTCTGTACTCAGGGGGGTCATCATGATTGAATTTTTACTATGTGTCAAGAAATTTACATATACTTTATTCCATCCTCACAACTGTAAGATATACCATTGTCATTATTGTAATCCTGTTTTACACACTAAATAACTAAGGTTCAGAGAGCTTAAGTAACTTGCTGCTGACTCAGATCCAATAACAGAAAGAACTAGAATTCAAGCCTAGACCTATAAGTTCATTATTAAAAAGTAGCAGGCTGAAGCCAGGCATAGTGGTACATACCTGTAATCCTAGCACAGAGAAGGCTGAGGCAGGAGAATCTAGAGTTCAAGGCCAGCTAGCGTACATAGTAAGTCCCTGGCAAACCCTGTCTCAAAAAAAAAAAAAAAAAAAAGCTGACTGAAACCAGAGTGCTGGTTCCACCTGCTTCTTGCTGTTTGTTTCTTGAGCTAGATCTACTTTTTCTCAAAAGCCCAGGGACTGAACTATTAGTAAGGCTTCTTCTTCTGCTCTAATTCTGTGACTGATAGCTCCAGAGAGCCCACCTTCTCCATATTTCTGTCTGAAGTTCCACCCCTCTACATTCTTTTCAATCTTTGGTTTCCCCTTGAATCCCCCTACTGTTCCACTTCAAAATGCCCCCTCCAAGAGTTCTAATAGATCTCTGTGGCTGGCGCTGATCCAGCCAGGCAGCTGGCAGAGGGTGGGCATGCCACTGCCCCTTTAATTCTCCTGGGGCTTGGAATGCAAGTGAGTTGCTGTCTCTGCGAGGTCAGATAAGATACTATATATATCGAGCCGTAACCTGAGCTCCGGATTACAGAGCCCCAAGTCAGACTCGGCTTCTGGCCTGTCCACTGCCTTCCCTGCCCTGCCGGGGAAGAAGGCCCCAGGCCCCTTCCAGTGCCCCTGGACACAGGTCAGTAGCTGCTCCTTTGGTATCTGAGCTTCTCAGGGTGGCTGTCTAGAGGACAGGCGTGAGTAAATTCGGGGGAGCATGGGAAAGGCCGGCCACTGGGCCTGGTGGGTGCCATAGACAAGACCAAAGAGTGCACTGGATGTGCAGACAGAAGATGGCTGAAGCCTAGAGGAGCATGAGGGAGACAGGGCTCCCCTCCTTGGGGAGGGGAACCAGGACAGCCTGGGCAGGGATGGGTGGGAAAGAGAATCAGAGGATACCAATACTGCCTGGTGGCCCATTTCTTTCCTTTTTTTTTTTCTTTTGGACCTGTAAAGATGTTCATATTTTCCAATGCCAAATCAAGGAGCATCTAATAGAGATACTGACCTCGGCGTATCTATCTACCTCTTCTCCACGAATCAGGATACTTGCCTTAATCTCCAATCTCTTTATCTTACCTCTCCTCTCCCACTCGCAGGCCCTTGGGCACCTACCAGGAATTAGAGAGACAGAGATGGACCCAAATTCTGAGAATGACCCCTGACAAGGCGGACAAGAGCATAGGGTACTAAGCTGGTGGGTCACTGAGTGCTAAGGCCTGAGAGAGCTGCTATCCACAGGTGGGAGGAGGGGCAGCTGAGGTTCCTGGTGCCTGAGAGGAATAGATAGTGTTGGGCCGCACTCCATCCTCCACCCGCATCCTCCACACCTGCCAGGGCTGGGTGCTTGTGCCCAGCCAGTGTAGCCAGGGACCCAAGCAGCTAGGAGTAAGGGTCAGAGAGTGTGGGTGGAAGGAGACAGGCTCCCCACTCGCCCTCCTCCCTTTCGGGGTCAGCACATTCCAATGCACTTAGCCAGGAGTTCTGGGAAGCTCCGAGGTCACCCCAGTGGAGGTTCCCAAGCACCTGGTGAGACTGGCCGGGACTCCCCACTCACATGCCTTGAGCATCTGGGTAGGAGGAAAGGGACTTAACCCTGCTTAGGAGTGTCTGGGAAACAGCTCAGAGTTCTCTGTCCAGGCAGTGGCAAGGCCACATAGAAGCCTTCACTCCAGGAGACAGCAGATCTGGGCAGACAGGAGCCATGAAGGCTGTTGGGATGTAGGCTGTCACCCACTGCCCCGCTGCCCCCAGGGCCAGGAGTGCCTGGGATTCTTGGTGATCAAGTCCCTCCCCTGGCTGGGCAGGTTAGGGAGCTCTTCACGTGAGCTACAGGAAATGACAGCGGCTGACCCGCTGATGCAAGGAGGTTGGTTGCCCCAAAGGAACATGGTTCATTTTAATCCCTGACTCACCTAGCATAGTACCTTGGGGTACTATGGGCTCCTCATAGTGGGCCATGCTGCAGCCAGGGTAGTAGGCTGCAGGTTCTCAACCAGACCTGGGCCCAGTGACCCTGAGCTAGGGTAGATGCTGGTGACAGGGGACACACAGGAACTTGGCATCACAGGTGAAATGGAGGCCTCCTGGACCATGTCCTGGCTGATCAGAATTGTTCCGGGGCTCAGGTTGCACCTAGCTTCATTTTCATTCCTCTACAGTGGAAAATCCAGAGGGCTGCTCCTGCGGGAGTCTGTCCACCACCCCCATGCTGTTTCTGGATCGTGTATGCTTGGATCCTGTAGCACTCCTCTTCCCACACCTGCCAGCAGGTCCCCAGGTCTGCCCTAGACCCAGGGAAGCAGCAAGCAAGGCCTCAACTTCTGGGTGGCTGTGGCAGTCAGCACAGGCAGAGCACAGGTCTCAAGCTGGCTCTGCCACTGCTCCCAGCCTGACTTTGGGAGACCCACATCCCTTCGGAGGACCCTCATTTCCTTATCTGAAAATGGGCATCATAATAGCACCTGTTGCTTAAGAGTTCTTCGGAAGATTAAGTGAGTTAATGCATGTGTCCCAAGTCTTAGTGAAGTTTGAAGCATTACTACCTTCAGTAGTACAAACGTGCAAAATTTCACTTGAAAGTTTTCCTGTTGGAATGAGGGACGCAGCTCCAAGGCAGAGCATTTGCCTAGCATGTGTTCAAGCCCTGGCTTTGCCCGCCTCAAAAAAATTTCTAAGTTTCTTGAATATTTACTTTTGGAATAGTGGGTACATTTCTTAAATTTTACTTTTAATAATTCGACTGTTCCTATGGTGGTTATAAGTTTGAGGCGTCTGTATATCTGAAAGAGTTCAAGCTCACCTGCACCGAAACTTCCTGGCTGCTGTGCACATGAGCATGTGTAGAAGAATGCTGGATGCATAGCGAGGGCGTGTGAGTGTTGGTGTAAGGCTGCCTAAAAGATGAAATCAGAGACTGCATGTGAAGTCCTGAGCGTGTTTGGTCCCTGGTCCATAGGTGTGCAGCCGCAGCCGGCCAGGTGACAGCTGCTTGGCTCAGGTGTCCCGACAGGAAGCTGAATGGCTCTGTGCAGAGGAATGCTGGAGCGCCTCCCAAGAAGGGGAAACTGAGCAAAGTGATGGGGGCATCTCAGAGAAGCGAAGAGCCGGGCAGCTCTGTAAAGATGCCACACAGGAGGAGTACAGACAGGGGACGGGCCCCCGTGGTCCAAGGTGGTAGGCATCTGAGGAGGTGCTGCCTGGAGCCGCGTGCCTCTACTTGCCAGCTCTGGGTAAACAGTGAAAGGAGCCGGGCAGCAGAGGCCCCACGCTGGGCAGGGAGGGGTACGGGGAATCCCAGCCAATCGTCTGGCCTCCCACTGCCCCATGAAAGAGCCATTCAGTCCAGACTGTTCCTGTGGCAACAGGGAGACTCGCAGCCATGTGAGTGCCCGTCCTGGCCCTGTCTTGCGCAGTAAGGCCACAGCCTGGGCTCCAGCCCCAGCTCCCGCCTATGGTGTATTCAGCAACCTCTAAGGACAGCAGTGCCAGGTAATGCCAAGGGGTGCCAGCCCAAGCTGTCTGCTCACCTGGAAGTTCTTGGGACTTTTTTTCAGGAGTTGACTAGAGTTTGGTGGAAGGGAGAGATATATGCAAGGCCTCAGGCCCAGTAGAGCCCTCTCCCCAGACACGAGAATGTAAGCCAGATGTCAGAGCCGAACCACAGCTTCTGGGGCTGTTAGTGATAGCTTGACTCCCAGGGCTGCTGGGGAGAGGAAGGAGGCCTGGCAGTTAGTTGCCTGCCAGATTGGAGCAGACAGCAGAGCCAGATTTGGGAGGTCTCCTGGGATTCTGTGGGCCAGAAGGTATGACTCCACCTCCAGCCTCCAACACTTCCAGGGCTGTCTGTCCCTGTCTGTTGTACCTTGTTTGGCCCCAGCCCTTCTGCGTCATCAGCAAGGCCAGAAGAGGTCACAGGCTTGGGGTACTGCCCACAGAATACCAATTCCCTGGGAGCCTTGCGGGAGGGGAGGGAGATCGGTGGAGAGGAGCCATGAGCTCATACCCTGGGGGTGGGGTCGTATCTGATTGGCTGCCTGGTGTCCGGGAGCCCAGCTCCTGAGACTCAGTGTCTCTGACTTTGCATTATTGATGGCATTCTCCAAAGTGAAATAGAGCAGGACTGGTCCCCCACTAGCAGCCCCTGAGCCTCAGTCTGCCCCCGCACCGTGGTTTCCCTGCTGAGATCAGCCCCCTTTTCCTAGAGAGGAGTGAAAGTTTCCTGGAGGGGGTGCTCGGGGCACAAGTGAGTGTAGGAGAACGGTGGGGGTCATCTGCGGCAGGCAAGAAAAGGGCAGGCAGTAAAAGGGACAGGGTTTCCTGGTGCCGGCCGGAACATGGCTGGAGCTCTCTGCCGGAGTCCAGGAGTGCTGTGCTGGGATCCACATGGAGGCTGCCACTTGCTCGTTTCCACTCCTGCACCCATCCCAAGCCTTGCCTGGATGGGTTTCTGGGGCTTCCTGCCAAACGTTCAGTGTTTGGGGTTTGGCACCAGCTCCTCTCTGCCCTGTTGGGCTGGGCTGCTGCTGGCCTAAGGCAGGCTATGGGCTGCCCAAGCCAGTGTCTGCTGAAGAGCGTGGTGTGCGTCCGCTTATCTCTCTGGGAGCTACAGAGGGAAGCCTGGCGTCCAGGCTGAGGTGGGACCAGCTAGGCCAGGGAACGGCCAGCCCTGGCATTATTATAGACTACCAAGGGAGGAGCCAGGCTGCCTGGCAGGGGCTGTGGGAGGAGATAATAACCAGTCAGTGTTAAGCGCTTTCACGTGTTATTATCTTATTTATTCCTCACAACACTGTGAGATAGGCATCATCATGGTAATTATTATACTCATTTGCAGGTGAGGAAATTGGAGCTCAAAGAGATTAAATGACTAGTGCAAAACTGGCCAGCTAGTCCATCACAGGGGAGTCAAAACCAGCCCTTACCCACAGTACTCAGCCTTCTAGAAGGGCCCCCCACGGCAAGCTCCTGAGGCCCTCAAGGAAAGGGCCTTCAGCTTACTTGCTCCTCTCCCCCAAAGCACCTCTGCCACTCCAGCTCCACTGGAGATAAAGTTTGCACACTGAGGTAATGGAGAGGCTCTTGGGACCCGCCAGCTACAATGGTGGTGGCAATTCAAAGCTCTGTGGAAAGAGGGCTGGATGCATTCTCAAAGACCTGGATTCAGATCATGACTGCTAGGGTGTGACCCTCAACTAACTAGTGTCACTTTTCCCACTTGTGTAATCAAGAGGTTAAAGTGCATGATCTTTTAGGGCCGCTCCTAGCTCTACGTCCAGTGACTTCTATGTTCCTTCACCAGACTCACCCGAGCTGCTAGGAAGGGGGTTGCCGGGACAGGACAGGTACCAACACCAGAGAATGCTGCCTGCAGTGCTTGATTTTAGACTCTAGGGGGCCCCCTTTGCACAAGTCAACTATTGCCAGGAGCAATTTGGTATCCCGGTTGGGAGAACCCTGGGAGGCCACAGGGCACTAACTCCGCTTAGAGCAGAAGATTAAGATCAGTGAGAAAGGTGGATTTACCATACTAGTACCCCCCACTGGGGGACCAAGCAGCAGGTGCTTGTGTCCAGGGAAGAACTCTGGAATGGAGTCTCTAAGGCTCCCACCCACTCTTCCCCCCACTTCCTCTCATGAACCTCTTTTATCTCACAAAGTAGCTGACCCCATGATCTTTAGGTCATTCCACAGAGAGCCTGTGATGCCAAAAGGTCTCTTGCTGGTCACCTCAGCCAGAGGGCAGAAGCCGTCATAACTCTTGAACAAATGTCCCACATTCTCAGTCCAGAGAGTGAGGTCAGAGGCATGCCCAGCTCAGGAGTCTCTGCAGAAGCTGAGAAGAGGAACCAGATGGGATTTGGCTGGAAGACTGCATGGCTTAGAGGGCTGCAGAGGACAGCCTGCTTGCCTGTTTGAGTCTTTGAAGGGAGAATCCAGAGTGGCCAGGACACGCTGATGCCAGTTTCCCTCCTGAACACGTGGGCCTGGCTGTGAACACGTGATGTGTGCAAGCCCACATGCACATCTGCATGCGTGTGTACATGTGCTTCTCGGCAGCCAGCCAGTCTCTTGTGGACGTAGACTGGCTGGGCCTGTTGAGCCCTAAGGTTCTGGCCCACCTTGGATGGAGAATAGGCACAGCAGGCACCTGGCAGGGCCCTTTGACAACTCCTTTCCTTGTCTTGCAGCCCATGAGGCTCCCAGTCCCCACTGAGTGCCGCCCTGAAGGATGTCCCAGCTCTCCTCCACCCTGAAGCGCTACACAGAATCGGCCCGCTACACAGATGCCCCTTACGCCAAATCAGGCTATGGTACCTACACCCCGTCCTCCTATGGGGCCAACCTGGCCGCCTCCTTCCTGGAGAAGGAGAAGCTCAGTTTCAAGCCGAGCCCCCCCACCAGCTTCCTTCCCCGTCCCAGAACCTATGGTCCCTCCTCCATCCTGGACTATGACCGGGGCCGCCCCCTGCTGAGACCCGACTTCATCGGGGGTAGTAAGCGGGCAGAGAGCCAGACCCGAGGCACTGAGCGGCCTTCAGGCAGCGGACTCAGCGGGGGCAGTGGATTTCCCTATGGAGTGACCAGCAACTCCCTCAGCTACCTGCCCTTGAGTGGTCGCGACCAGGGAATGACCCTGACCCAGAAGAAATCAAACAGCCAATCAGACCTGGCCCGGGATTTCTCCAGCCTCCGGACCTCAGATAGCTACTGGACTTCAGATAGCTACCGGATAGACTCCGGGAACCTGGGCCGCAGCCCCATGCTGGCCCGCACACGCAAGGAGCTCTGTGCCCTGCAAGGCCTCTACCAGGCAGCCAGCCGCCCCGAGTACGTGGAAGACTACCTAGAGAACTATGGTCACAAGGGCAGCGCACCCCAGGTGCTCATGCAGGCCTCTCCCTCTCGAGTCCCTGAAGTCCTCAGTCCCACCTACCGACCCAGTGGCCGATACACGCTGTGGGAAAAGGGCAAGGGCCAGATCCCTGGGCCCAGCCGCTCCAGCTCCCCAGGGCGAGACACTACGGTGAGTTTACCCTTGGGTACCTAGCAATGGGCTGGGAGGACAGCCACCTATGTAGAAGAGCCAGGTTGGGGGCAAGACTCCTGATGATTGATAGCAGCCCCTATGGAGAAAAGAGGAACAAGTCATCCCAGTATGTCTGATGCCTTCCAATTTTCCCAAGGACCTGCGACACTGAGGGTGTTCCAGCAGTGCTCTTGGAGTGCTTGGCTATCCCTATGCACACTGTTATTCTTCCCTTGTCCTTTTCCACCCAATATGTCAGGGTCCTCAGAAGGTCTTGTCCCATCTGGGACTTGATGCTGGGGCTCTCAGACCACCAGTGCTCCCTGTGGCAAGTGCGGCCTCCCTGCTTTGGCTGCATCTCTCCTGTTCAGACTTGACGTTTGGGCATAAGAGAAAAGGAGAAGCGGCACCCTCCTCTGGTTGACGCAGGCAGGCTTGAGTCATGGTGTCTAGATACCAGCACTTCTATGTCTTTGGAGGAACTAAAGGAGAAATTAGGGATTGAGATGATCTAATACCTCTGTACTCCATCCCTGCCTGGGATCTAAGAGGCTCTGAAAGAGTCTGGCCAAGGGCTAGCACAGCCTTCCTCACACCTAATCCTTGACCAAACCTCTGCTGGGGCACTGAGACGGTCTGCTTTCCCTGTAGTTATTAGTGTGCCCATTAGGTGGCGAGCTCTCAAGCTTGAAAAAGATTCTATCTCCAGATCCCTCATCAGGTGCCGCACCGCGGGGAGCTCAGCTGATTGCATGGATGAATGGGTGCTTGGGTGAGCGGGTAGAGGGAGGGAGTGAGGGGTGCATGGATGAATGGATGGACAGACAAATGGACAGACAAACAGGTGGATGGGCAGGTGGGCAAGCAAGCATATGGGTAGGAGGATTGGGTGCTGTGTGTTCTCCACTACCTTATGTACCACCCCCCTGCTAGGACATGTGCCTTTTGTAAACAACAGCTGTGCCACGGTGAGAAATGCTGCTTAGAGCACTTCTCCAGGCCAATAGAGCAAGGGTTCAGGATGAAGGGTGGGGCACTGGCCAACAGACTGTGAAGTGTGTCATAACTAAAGATCTTGAGAGGACACTGATCACATTTCTTAGAAAGCCTTGGCCCTGCTGGGCTGTCTGGAAAGTGCCATGGGAGATACAAAAGCTGTGTCTCCCAGGACATTCAGACCCTGTCAAGGCAGTGCTGGCTATACTGGAGCATCCGTGTAGCTGGTAATGGGAGACTGTGTCATGACAAAGCTGGGCTGAGAAAGAAATGGCACTCTCAGAGGACAGTGTGCATGGCTGGGGCAGAGTAGCATCCTGTCGGACATGATGTTGTCCACGGTGGTCTCAGTGAAAGCGTCTTAGGGGCTCCCCACTTTGCAGTGCTCTTCCAAGTAGGGTCTGCAGACTGCATGCCTGGGAATCACACTTCACCCAGGCCCACTGGCTCAACCTCTCTTAGGATAGTGCCTGGGAATGTCCTTGTCACCAGCCCTCCAGGTGCTCCATAAGCACACACTGACGCTGAGACCCTCAACATCATAGACCCAACTACAGACAGCGCCACCCCTGTGCCCCATCATGAGAGAGCAGGATCTCTTTACTGGGAGTCAGACAGCACTGGAATCCTGCCTCCTCCTCACCACACATACCAGACCTCCTGGGAGTGTGCCACTCTCCCTCTCTTTCCTAGGGGACACCCATCCCCACTCCAGTGGTGAGGGGGGGAGTTTTGAGAGAGGCCCTCAGAGGAGGCCCTCACATGACCCCTGGAGGGCCACCTGGCATCCTTACTTCCCACCCAGAAGCAACTCACAACACTGAAGTAGCTGGGAATTCACCACAGCTAGAGCTTCATCCTGAGCCCTCGGGGTGGGGGGCTCGAGCCATAAAAGACCTCAAGGTCTTTTAATTTCACCCCCTTGTGCTCACTTCAGGAGGCTGGCTGCATACTGTAGAGTTGAAAACAACCATGTTAATGGGGCCTGGGCCACTTCTAAAAGTAGGTCCACTTTCTTTTTTGATTTCCATTGGAGCATCTTAGCTTTTCATTCATTCATTTATGGGGCTTAACTTACTAGCACTATACTCAATGCCTAGTGTTAAGTACTCAGCACCTAGGGGCTGGGGATTTAGCTCAGCGGCACATCGCCTGCCTGGCAAGCGTAAGGTCATGAGTTTGATTCGCGGTACAGGGAGGTGGAGGGGGGAGACAAACAAAAAAACAAACAAACAAATAAGTACTCAGCACCTAGCCTACTCCAGTAGGTCCTTTCACTTCCGAACCTGTTTCCTCCTCTGTAAAATGAGAGTGCTCATCATTCCCCCTTGATAGATTATTGTGAGGAATGGGAGAGTACTGGATGTGTAAATGCTTGGTATGTGTTAGCCCTTGTACCCTTCCAGGTGCTGTGGGAGACAAGAGATGTGTGTAAGCCATGGGTCATGCCCTTGGCCCATTCACAATTCCCTTGGGGAAATGAGTTCTTTAATAAGTACAAAAGGAGACTGCCCAGGTTTAAGTGTTATCAGTGGTGGAAAAGAAAGAGGTCATCTGAGGCTGAGGCAGGCTGCCCATGACCTCTGGAAGGTACAATGTGCTGCTTTAACCTTGGACACCAATCAGCTCAGGTGTATTTCCTCATCCATAAAAAGGAGTGATCACACCTGCCCTGCCTACCCCACCGGCATGCAATGAGGCTCAAAGCAAATAATGCATGTGGAGGAATCGAAACCCAGTAAAACACTACAGAAGAGTTTGTTTAAGCTCAAAAGGGAGGGCTGGGGGCACAGGCCAGTAGTGTAGCACTTGTCCAGCCTGTGTGAGGCCCTGAGTTCAATGCCCAGTGCTGAAAAAGTAAATAAACTCAGGGGGATGATTTTAAAAAAAGGGCACCGACTGGGGGTGGGGTGGGGTCACAGAGTAGGGATCCCCCTGTGGGAGGATCAAAACTGAGCAAGCACGTTCTGTAGCGGGGTCTCCATCTCTCTCTCTCCTTTTTCTTTTTCAGTAATAAGTAAGAGGGATTGAACCCAGAGCCTTTTGCACTGAGCTCTTTTTTTTTTTTTTTTTTTTTTATTTTTTTTTTTTTTTTTTAAAACAGGGTCTTTCCTGGTCTTTTAAACAGGTAAATTCCCCAGGCAGAACTCCAATTTGTGATCCCCCTGCCTCAGGCTCCCAGAACGCTGGGATTATAGGCGTGCACCCCCACCACCAGCAGCAGCAGGGTGTCTCAGGGTGCCCAACTTGAACTACAGCTGGGTTTCATAAAGAAAGGAAGGTCACATGCAGGCCCCCAAGCAAGAGTAGAACAGTTCCAACCAGACTCCTTCTCCTTCCAGTGAAAGCCAACATGAACTTGAAATATCAGACTCCGCTGAGCATGAGTAAAGAACTGACAGAGAACGTGAATTCTGAGTAACCCCCTTCCCATGCTTGTGTAGGCACCCACAAAATGCCAGTCTGTGGGGGTGCAGCTCAGCGCTAGGATAACAAAGGTCTGTCCTGAGGCTTCACTGTCTCCTACAAATGCAGACAGATGAAGCAGCAGGGACAGTGATGGAGAAGGGGGTACCACTACCCCCAGTGAGGACTCCAAGCCAGCCCAGGTGGCTCAGCCCTGTAGAGAGAGCCAGGATCCTGAGTCCCAACCCTATCACCTCCCCCTCTGCCCTACCTCTCTTGTTCCCAGGCCTATGGAAGGACAAGCTGTTCCTACCGAGCCCTGCCAGGGCTGTGCTTTAACCCCTACAATCCTTTCTAATCCTCCTCTGCTCCACCCCTCCAGCTGCTCCCTGCCAGCCCTGGCATTCTGCCTGCTGGATGAAGCCCTGCACTGGTCCCGCCCAGGTCTCCCCTCCCCAGTAAGAGCCAGGGGTTGGCCCAGCGCCCTCCCCCGCAGTCAGCAGGCTGGGCACCTGCTCCCCAACACGGTGCCAGGGACTGAGGCTCTGGTTCAGCCTATTCTCCTGTACGCAGTCTCTTCCATACCTTGCCATCTGCTCCAGGACCTGTTTCTAAAGAGCAGTAGAACCTGAGTACCTGGGTCCTATTTGCCACTGGGGCTGCTGACTCATCTTTAGAAGCCCTGGGTTCCAGCTGTTCAGTAACAGGGAGATTATATAAGCTGAGGTCATATGATTTTGCCGTTGGGTGGGACTTTGGACTTGAATGCTGCCCTGCAGCAAGCGGAGGTGCTCCAGTGAGAACAAGTTGAGAAAAGCAGGGGCTGCCTAAGAGCTCCTGGGTGACAAGTTGACCTTCTCCTGTCCCTGGCCTTCTCACTCTGTTGACTCAGCTATGCTGGACTGCATCCCTGCTGGCCTGTGTGTAGCTTAGCAGCCTGAGACCCTAGGGCCTGTCCTCACTTGCTCCCACCCCAGGCTCACTTAGCCATTCTAAGGAGGTCGAATTTCCTGGGGGGCAACACAAGGTCACTCAGAGGAGACATAAAGCGGGGAGAATTCCCATGGCAGGACCAGCACTAGCTTTGAAGGAAAGGGCAGCAAGTTTGTGGCTTGTGATTACAATCAGCAAGATGTCCCCATCCCATGAAGATTTGCTGTGGGCTGTGACCTGGTGGCCTTGGAGTTGCCATACTCGGCCTCAATTTCTCAATTGGTCCCCAGTACCATCCATCCTCCCTGCCTTCGCCACCCCCACTCCAGGTGTCTTCATGAGTTAATGTGGTGCTGGGGTGGGGCTTAGCAATGCAGAAAGTAATCCAAGCCTGGCAAAATGTTCCCTGCCCCTGGGGGAGCCGCTCCACTGACCACTGGCTTTAGAAATGAACATTGTGTCCAGAGCCCAGAGCTGCACATGTGACCCCCTCTTACCTCAATGAATACATAAAACTGGCACCCTGGACAGAAGTAGAAGCAAGAGAAGGAAGTGTGTGGCTTCGGGAATCTGGCTGGTTCTGGCCAGGCTGCCTGGGGCTTGAAGGAGTACAGAGCATTTGGCCTCTGGGAGGTCCAAGGCATACAAGGAAGCAGAGCTAC